TACCTGACCCTCAGGTCCTTCAATAAGAATTGTCCATTTGGTCTGCATAGATATGTCAGATCCTCCAATCCCAGAGATTACTCCATTGGCTGATACTAGTTCCCAGCCCTGTGGCCACTGTGGAGCGCCATGATGGTCCACAGGGCAATGATGGTCAAGTCTGTTCCAGTATCTACTATTCCTGGAAGATAAACTTTGTCCCCTTTGTTAAACAAGCCACACTCTATAAAAGGTCTATCTTGGCCCACAATCTCTGCCCAAAAAACCACAGGGTTTTCTGGCAAAATGTCAATCCAGGTGGGAATCAGGAAAGCTTAGGCAATGGGTGTGACCTGAGAAAAAACACCAAGGTGGGTCTACACATGAGACAGTCACAGTAATTTCATCCCTTGATCCCACAGTCTGGAGTTCCAGAAGTACTTGCAAATTGCCCAATCCATTAATAGAGTCCCCTATGATTAAGATGTCCCTTGGTCCATCAGAAGGTCCAAATTTAGCAGTTGGAATTTGATAGATCACCTCATCATCAAACTGGATTACCAGTGTGCATCATGTCCCTGCCTGAATGTCTTGGTAGATCTTGGAGAGTCGGAACTCTTTCTCATTGTCACAAACAGTCTCTTGGTGCCCTGACTTTCCAAGATGGTGGGGAAAGAGGGCTTGGCACTTGGTGTTGTTGCTCAGGGCCGCCCTGTGCTCTGCTGGAAGTTTCCCTGGTGTTTCTGGTAGGATGGATGATGCTGAACCTGCTGGTGGTATTGAAACTGAGGACAGTGTTTAAAATGTTCTTTACAGTCTAGGCATACAGCGGAGGGACAACCAGTGGAGGGGTGTTTCTGTAAAAAGTCTTTATCACATTCCACCTTGAGATGGCCTAGTTCATGGCCTTATAGCCATCTGATATCTTGTTTATTTTGTGCCACAAAGGCTTCAGATACTTCTTTGCTGACTGCCAGGGCAATTATATGTTCTGTAGTGGTGAGATGGGTACAGGCTTCCACCATTTATTGAATGGTGGGTTCAGGGTCTGGAGGGAGTGGTCTCTTGTCGTTTTCTTGCATCTCTCATTTGCGTTGGACACTGCTAGTTTACTGAGCAGCCCTTCTCTAGCCCTTGAGAAATCAACCTGCTTATCAATAGTGTCTTCTAGTCTGTCTATGAATTTAATAAATGTCTCATCAATACTCTGAATAATGTCAGTGAAACTTTGTTGTGGGGTGGTGCCTTCAGGTGTTTGGATAAAGCATTCTGAGCAGCATTTTTACCAATTTCCCTGGGTCATTTGTATTCCAGTTTGGATCCTGGAGAGGGAAAATATCCTTAACATCCTGTTGTGTTGTTCTACAAGAGTTCTCTGCTAAGTCCCCCACTGTTTTCAGAACTAACTGTTTTTCTGTCTCCGTTAATGCCTACAACAATAACTGTAGATCAAACCAGTCTGGTTTATGTTGCTTAATCATATATCTTAACCTTTTGGTTGTTTTTATCAGATCACTTCTATAGCTCTTGGCAATTCTTTCCCAGCCCTCTAAGTCAATTGTAGAAAAAGAAAAACTTTTAACTAATAGCCTTTGGTTCGCAGATCCTACTGCCTCTCGTAAAGGGGCTTGTATTATTTCCCATGTTTGTTTTCTAGTCCGGGATGCTATGGGACTGCTCACAAAACATTCTTCACCGTCACTGTTATTATCAGGCAATAGGAGATGTGACAATTTTTGTAATTCAGAAGTAAGTGGAGGAGCAGATGGCCCAGCTTGTCTCCTTTCCAAGGGAGCTGTAGCTGCTCCTCTCCTTAGTCCTCCTTGCTCCTCAGGGGATGGCTCAAATAAGTCCAGTGACTCTTTCTTTTGTGTCTCTGCTTGATAAATCTTGTCATGATGCATGCAGTACTGGTTGATTGAGCACGTACTGCAACATTGCTTAAGTTTCCCTCTATTAGCTTTGTTTTGTTTTTCAAGGGCTAATACCAGGGGATCAGATGGGGCTCTAATTCCACAATCCCTCTACCATTCAGGATGATTTCGGAGGGAAAAGGACATGTCTGCATATGAAACCTCACTCCATTTCCCTTCAGGCCCGAGGAAAAGCATAAACTGCAGCAAGGAGTTATATTCTAAGGTCCCAGTCTGTGGCCATATTTCTCCATTTTCCTGTCTGTATAAAAAGACCACAATTGTGTTCAGTACTTCACTAGCATGTATTTGGATTCTATGCTTCCCAGACCTGTAATTTCCTTCCAGTGGGCTAAAATTCAGCCCAGAGGACTTGCCCTAGGGATTTCTTTGCTCTCACCTGATCCCATTATTTTCTCCTCCTTGTCCTGTTTCACTTCCACCCAAATCTCTTCTCGCACTCTTGCACAATCTTTCTCCCAACCTTCTTCCCTTACACTCCAATTCCCCAGGACTAAATGTGATTTTGCACAGAAACACACTAAAATTTCTGGTTCAGGGTCTCCCTGACCCTGCAGCCAATGCTGGGGACATGCAATGTGTCTTCTACCAGAGGAACAGTACCAACAGTCTCTGAAGGACCTGCACTTAAACCAACACCCACACAAGATGTTGCCCTTGCCTGCAGAAACAGATGATTCCACCTCTCCTGTTCATCTGGATATTCAAATCCTTTGGTGCTGGCTGTCTTCAATCTAGTGCAACTAATTTCTCTGCAGAGGTCCTAAATAGTTCCTCTAAATAAAGCTGCTGTTTCCCCTTATTACCCAATTGCTCTTGGGGATCATGAATTACCAGGAATCAAGTCCAAGCTACTGGAAGAGAGTGACTCCTTCCACCCATCTTGCCATGGTTGGGACAACCATGATTCCACAACGCTCTCGTATGCCTTCACTCTCTCCTTAAAACACACCTCACAGCAAAGCCTAAAAAAAATACTCACAGCAAGCAAACAAACAAACAAAGCAATCAAGCAAGTAAAAAACCGTATAGACAGTACTTCACTGTTATAAATGAAAATTTGTCCAGCCAAATTAATATGAAAAATAAAATATTTATTTTGCAATCAAATTCTATCTAGCCAGCCACAAGGAAAGAATAGAGCCGAGCCCAGGGTCGGCCCTGGGTGTGCAACAAGGAGTCAGCCTCAGCAGAGGTTTTCCTCCATGCCCACACACCTCCATCCTGGCACAAGCGGTTTTTATAGGGAAAATTCCGCCTGAGGCCAAGATTTCAGCAGTCAGTCTTTTCTTCTATTCAGAGTCCATATGGTAATAAGATTTTCCTTTTTGGTGATGAGGGAGAACAAACCACTGTCCGGAGTTTGTTGAATCCTTGATGAAATTTACGGGAATTCGAGAACACTGTATTCACATGTATCTGCCTCAGGATTTCCATGATATCCATCTCGGGTCATTCACACGATTGATCAGCACCTGGGGTTTCTGTATCTCCCCAGACATGGCCCATCTCCTGTCGAGCTGTACCTTCTTACTTGTAAATCAGTTTCCAATCTACACCCGGTCTCACCTGCGCCTGTGGGGGGGGGGGGGGGGGAATCCTAATACAAACATGTATACTCTAACAAATATTCAATATCACATAGATCATATTAGAAATGGCGCAAATTATATCTACTACACATAACATTCACCAAAGTAAGTGCAAAACCCTTAAAGAAAGAATACTCCTGGCAAATAACACCAAACAAGGCCTAAAGACAGCACACAGTAAAAGAGAATATGCAAGGTAAAACACCCCTTTGCCAGCGCACACAGCAGTTTGCTGCAATTATAACTTTTTTTTTGACACAAGATGGCGGTGTTATCTCAAAAACACACCACCGCTTCACTTTGCACCACGGCGTGTCTCAGGCACGCACACAGCCAAACACAATACACATCCGAACTTTTTAAAACTCACACACCAACCAAAATAGTGGCAAACAGGAATTCTCTCAGTCCACCCCTAGAACCGCTAGCAGCCGCTCCACCAGCCACCGAACCCCTTCCCCCACTGGCCGCACGTCCGACCAAAGGTTGTTTGCAAGCCCAAACCCACCAGGACCCTTTCTGTGTGCTGAGACGCCTCTGAGCAGCCCATCAGTGGCCCCTACGGGGGCCTCCCCTTTTTAAAAGAAATACATACTGTTTCTCCACTGCTCAGGAGGTCATCTGTCCTTGCAGTGAACAATCCGAGAAGCAGAATCCCTACCAGGGAAAATCCAGGGAGTGCACCTTAGGAAGTCCATTGCTCAGTCCGTCCTATGGCTGGCAGAGAACCACAGTCGCCAAAATGATATGCAGAAAGACTCTAAAACTCAAAGTGAGTTATAAAGCAGGTATGTATTTTTGGCCGGACGCACGTGGGATACTTCCGCAAAGGCATAAGCAACTACTCGCTCTCAGCATTATGTTTTATCATCTAAAATGTTACCTATACGTTAGGTCTTGCAATACATTTATGCATATTCATTTCCTGGCTCCACCTTGTCTGCTTTATATGTTAATTATCTTATCAGTCCCTTGCACTTCCGTACTTGTCTCTCTCTTGGGGGTTGCAGGGGGATGAAGTAAATAGTCTTCATCAGAGCTGACCTTCTCACCCTGTCTTCTTGCACATGCTTACTGATCTCTTGGTCGCAGTCTAAACCATGAGATTGGTTTGATCTGGTTTGGGGGTCCAGAGGAGCCTTGTTATCTTGGTAGTCTTGTAATTTTGTCCTGTTTTGATGAACATCATCCTTCCCTTATCACACATCCTTGCATTCTTTCATGGTACACTACCCTGTCCCTCATGTATACTGTTCTCCCTTTACAGGTAGTTAGCACTTGGTTAGCTAACAGAGATACGAATTCCTGTACCAAGAAAAATATAGTAGGAGCTATGGATGCATTGGGATTTTTTTTTTTGAGTAGTGAGGCAAGTGACTGAAAGATATATAACTTGCCAAAGAATAAATAAAAAGGTGATGACAAAAACCAAATCAGGAGGTCGTGAGTTAGCTCTCTGATAATTTCAAAGTATCCAAGTAGAAGTTCAGATTTGTTAGGCTCTAAAATTTATTTATAAATTCAAAAGAACCATTCAATCCAGAAGAAAGAATATGCCATATGCTGAATGGGAGATTTTAGGAGAATAAAAAAATCTTCAAAGTATCAGAAACCACCGAGACAACGCAAGAGAGGAAAAAACGGGGCGGGGGGGATTGGGGGGAGATGGGAGAAAAAGGCTGGGAACAGGAGGAAGGGAGGAAAGAAAGAGACTGGGATCCTTTTGCAAGTTGCCCCGGCTCGAAGGGAAACTCTCTAGAGGAAGCACCTGCTGAACGGGGTCAGGAATTTAATGGTCAAGAGAATGGGAGGGGCAGTACTCGAGGGCAAAATGCTGACAAGGCTTTTGAGGCACAGCAGGGGAAAGAGGAGGCTCCAACCGAATGGTTAGACAGACTTGGGAGAAATATAAGGCAACGTTCCGGAACAGGTCATGAGATTGATGTGAGAAAAGCTTTGTGAAGTATTAACTTTGTTACTGGTGCTTGGCCAGATATTAGGAAAAAATTAGAAAAAATTGAAGATCAGCATAACAAATCATTAAATGATTTATTAAAGGAGGCTCAGAAAGTCTGTGACCAAAGCCAAACTAAAAGCAAGGATTGTAGCAGTCACCATATGAGAAAACAATTACAAAAAAAAAAAAAAAAAAGCAAAACCACACAAACACTACTACCAGATTCATGACAGTAGTAGAGACAGGGGAACAGGAAAGAATAAAACCCCAATACAAACCAAGTGTGAGGAGCATTCCAGGAATGTCTGCTTTTACTGTAAGAGCAAAGGACATTATAGGAGAGATTGTCCTAAGAGGGAAACAGATCTGAAAATCTTCTGAGAAATAAGCACAGAGGAAGAATAAAGATGTCAGAGACTATTTTTTAATGGACAAATACTATCTAGAGCCTGTGATAACTTTAAAAGTGGGTCCCCAAGAAAAATAATTGGAATTTGTGATAGACACAGGGGCAGAAAGAAACTGTCTGTTAAATATTCCAAAATGTTATACTGTGAACAAAAATACTGTAAAGTGACAGGAGCAAAAAGGAGTTTTACAGTTCCTGTCATTAAAAATGTGGTAATTGAGGGAGAAACTAAATTTTAAATAGGGGATGTTTTATTAGTCCCAGGGGTGGGTAACAACTTATTGGGATGAGATTTAACAAGTGAAATTAGGAATAGGGATTATCCCAGAAGATGGGCAGATGACAGCTAGAGTTTCAAAATTAGGCCAAGAGGATAAAAAAAAAAATTAACAAGGTAGTTCAGCATGGGGAAAGAAATAGGGGAGGATGCTTCATGCTGAGCAGATGTCTTCATTGAGCTGTTGATTCAGCTAATTCTCTTCCCTTTGCTATGTACAAGTAGTTTAAATTATTTCTTCCAATTTTCATTGTGATTTTTCATCTTGAAATATGTAACTCGCTGTACTCTAAGATTGGAAAACTATTTACAGCTGTGATATAGCAAAACCTGCTTTTCATTTATTTTGAGTCAATGGGAAGCTGTTCAATCAACTGGTTCTCAGTGTGTAAAGTTAAACTAAAGGTAACACCATCTGCTTAGTAGGTCAATGAGAAACATTTTTCCTTCCAGCCAGTCCTTTTTCATGTACCCAAAGGTGTTTTGCTTTCTTGGCTTTTGCTTTTTTTTTGTTAGTTTTTCTGGAAGTGCGGACTACTTGCAGTGCACCTGGAACAGCAGCTCAACTTGTGTATACGTAGCATTTCTGAAAAATAGGGCTCATTTTTGATCCAGAATTAGAGGTGGCTACATATATAGAAGGGAACCTACAAAGCTAGATGAAGAAAAGGTTTCAGTATCTTTAATGTAAACTGTAATTTGTTACTTTCAGCATCACTATGGGTGTGTGACACACACACACACATGAAAAAGATGGGGGGGATCTCTGCTGGCTGTAGTTTTATTTCTTGAATGAGTTGGAAAGCTGTGAGGAAGTTGTGAGTTCCTTGTTTGGTTTATCCACGCCTGCAGGGAGGGCTTGGCCATGATTCCCTCTGTGCTGCAGGCAGCCCTGCAGCGTGGCAGCAGTGGCTTGCCTCTGGTGAGTTTGCAGGCAGGGTGCTCCAGCACTGCAGTGCTCAGGGGCAGTTTCCTATTTTGACATTCAAGCTTGAATTCAAGAGCGCCTCTTCCCATACAGTTATTGTTGGTACCGTAAGAACCTCTTTAGACTCTGTTTCCTGGCAGTCAAAGAGAAAGTATTGCAGAGACAAATTCCTTACTTGCTGTCCCCTCTATTCATATTTTGTCCATTCCCTCTTCAAATTATAGAATTGTAAAATTCATGCTCTGTGTCCTCAGATGCCCTTCCCAAGTCAAACCTTGGCTTCGTTGCAAATTGCATTGCACTAACTAGCATTGCCTTAAATTTTTTAGTGCATGCAGGGTCACTTTGGAAGTAAGTTGTTATTTACCTCGTTCAAGCTTGTGAATGGAAAAATAGTGATAGTAAAACAAGTCTTTAGTTTTGGCACTGTGTCAGCTGTGAGTGGCCAGTAGCCTTGGTGGAGGGTGCCATGAATTACACAACTGCAGAACACGCATAACAAAAGTAAATGTAGACTAACGTTAGAAAGTGGACTGATGTTGGAATGTAGATGTTAAATGTGAAGAGAGAAAAAGAGAGACAGAGAGAAAGGGAGACATAGAGAGAGAGAGCGAAGGGGAGAGTGAAATAAGCCTCTAAGCTCCCCACGTCCATGGCTGTCTCTAAGTTCTCCCCCATCCCTGCTAGGTAGAGTAACAACAAGGGGGGAGAGGCAGAAGACACGAGTTAAACGCAAAGCTGTGAAAAGAGGGAGAGTGGGACCACTGCTAGAGAGAAGATCAAGGCAGAGATAGCTGACTCTCACAAAGTGGTTTATTTTTTTAAACAAGGTATCTTTTTCTTTCTGATTTTTGTTGTTAAGAAGAGGAGACTTTTGTTCTGAAGAATGGGTCTGTAAGACTAAAAGTTAAATGTTGCCCAAAAAGTAAAAAGCAAGAGACGTGATACATCTTGTGTTAAAATTAACCTAACCTTTTTTTATTTAACTGATTATAGCTCACAGGAAGAAGAATTGGCCTCTGCAGCTATTAACACAGCTGGACACTAGAAGAAGAAGCGGATGTAGAAAAAGTTTTTAGTTAAATCCAAAAAGTTTTGAAGAAAACTAATGGTAAAAGTTAATGCAGTATTGTTTTTCTTTTAACACTGTGTTATTAAGAAGTCCTTTCCAGGTACCACTAAAACAGCAATCCGAACCACAGAAAGAGGGTGAATTCATGACAGCAAAATCAAAGAATTTATGAAGAAATGTAAGGAATGGACTATCACATCTAAACCGGGTGATACCAAATTGACTTTCAACTGGGACTGAGTGGTAATGGTTTGGGAAGACCCAAATGAACCAAGGAAAGTACAAAGAATAACACCTCACTGAGAAATAAGGCAAAGCTTGCATCACTGGTTTTAAGCATTGCCTGAATAAGCCCTAAGACGCCTTTGACACCTCCTCGGGAGAGGAACACTGCCACTTCAAACAGGAGGATCAGGACTATTTTAATCAAAGAGTTCTTATATTCTGGCCTTAGTCTGTGACTTGTACAGGGAAGAAGAGAAATTACCATTAATACTATACTGTATACTTTATTTGATTCATCCCAATACTGGACACGCTAGATGGGTTATAAGTAAATGTTCAAATTATGAGAATAATTGGTATTGTAGTTCACAAAATGTATGCTCTCATTGCAAGAAGTATCAAGTACTGAATCTATCCCCTATACAGATAAAACTCAAAACAACTGAAGTAATAACTTTGTCTTGTGGATGGGAATTATCAGTGCCTGTTAGCTGAGAAATACCTGAGGAACAGTGGGAAGCCACAGTTAAGGAGTGTCAAAAAGGACTTGCCAAAATAAAAATGAGTAAAAAGGAGTGACAAGGGAAACAGAGGGCAAGCCTGGACTGAGCACTGTACTCACCACCGAGAAGATCACACGTACCTGCTGTGGGAAGCAACCCCATAGGCAGGGGAGGTGGGGGTATAAGCCATGCCAGACCTCTGTCATTCCTGTTTCTGTCTCTCATTTGTTGTCTTTTCCCTTCTGAGATACCAGCAAGATCGTGTCCCAAATGCTACAGAAAGTATTACACGGAAAGGAACCGAAGTTCCTTTTTGTTACACACACCCATGTCAACAGCCACTGTTATAACCCATCCAAATTAAGTACCTGCAAGCAAAATAAGGAAAAATATTGGGTTACAAGGAATTTAGGAAAAAGTAGCAATAGACGAGGCATTAAATGTCCAAAAGGAGAGAGATGGATTTGTTTTACATTTGATATCAGAGATATAGTCCAAGACTCGGCAAAAAAGAAATTAGTAAACAAAAAGGTGAAACCAGCACAGCAATCTAGCTCTGTATTAACCCCAAATTATATACTGCATCGCATTATAGGACTCCAAGCAGTTATAGAGGAGATAACAAACAAAGCTGCTCAGGGATTAGAATTGAGTCAGCAAAACCAAACAAAAACTGTAGGCTATCAAAATAGGTTGACTTTATTTATTGGCTAAAGAAGGGGTGTTTGTAGAAAGTTTAATATATCAGATTGTTGAAAATAGGTGACAATGAGGAAGTCATCCTAGAAAAAACAAAGGATATCAGAAAAAAGTTATAACCCAAGTATCAGTCCAAAAATAGGAAAACAATGTTAAAAACTAACTGGTGGGGTAATGTATTGAGAATGGGATGGTGGAAGAAATTAGGATTCTTCCTTTTATGTGTTACGACTGTTTTGATGTTTCTTCCTTGATTAATCCCATGCTTTATTTGATTACCAACAGGGTCCAAAAAATGCAAGTGGATAAGAAATATTGCTCAAGCCAAATGATTTATAAAGAATAAGAGGTGGAATTGTGAAAAATGCATATTTTATGATTGGCTTTTTGCAAATATTACAATGAATATTATATGTGTAATGTTAGAAAGCTATGATGTATTAATTCTCTTAAATAGTGTGTTAATATAGTTTTAGGTTACAACATAATGTTAAAATATGTACTCTGCGATGTAGGATTTTTTTACTAGCTCAAGCAAGGGATAAGAAAATCAAGAATTCTTCACACTGAGATAACAGCACAGGAAAATAGTTGCTGCCTCCTTATCAGAAAAGACAAACATTCTTCCACCTTTTGTCTTTTTGGAACCACCAGGATTACGGGGAAGAAGTTGACAAAAACCAGAAAAGTTCTTAATTTGCAAGGAATTTATGCATAATGTATGAGATATATGAATATGCAACAGGCTATTGCTTTTAAGGTTATTCCTTTGTTCACAAGGCATGCTTGTTGTGGCTTAAGTGGCCAAGAGCATCCGGACATCCGGAATTCTTTGCTTTTTATTGTCTTGTAATTGTCCTAACTCTAAATTTTATTACTCTAATTGTATTACTAATTTTATAACCATTTTATTATTACTAAACTTTTAAAATTTTAAAAACCAAGTGATTGGCGTTTTTCATACTTTAGTTATATTTTTGTTAAGGTTTAATAAACCCTTCAAATTTTTTAAGTGAACAGTCGTTTCTCACAGTGTGGTCTTGGCTTGGCATCTGGCTGTAATAACGTTTGCTCTATGGTCTTTGTCTCCTATTGTCCTTTATAAAACTTTTTAAATTTTTGCAGGAGAGCGAACATGTTTTTCACAAAGTCAGAACACCCAGGCTGGAGAACCAGGAGGCTCTTAAACAAACTGCCTTAGAATGCTGCAATAGTTAATCCCTTCCAACAGTTACAGTGAAATCGGGGTTCCAAAAAGGTAATTTTTTTCCAGAACAAAAAGCTGCAAAGTGCACATAAAGGTGTGAAGCTGAGATGCCTCTGACTGTGGATCTCCCTAGATCCCCTTTGCACCAGCAGTCCTGAGGGCCCGGCTCCCTCAGCAGCTGTGTGCCCAAGAGACACTGCCCAGCTGGGCACCAGAGGCTGCCTAAAAAAAAAAAAAATTAAATCAACTCTTAAATAAAGTATCTTGAAGGAAACACCGTCTGTAACACACCATACAGTACATGGTTTTAAAATAGTTTCCCACTGGGTGTTTGAAAATGCTTCAAGTACTCTCCATCAGCCCTTTTCCTCCGAGCCCAGTTCAGCCACAGCTCGCCTAGGGCTGCCCGTGCTGGAGCTGTACCAGCGCTCCGAGCACAGAGAGGGGCTTGAAACCGCCTTGCTCGGCTTGAAAAACCGCAAGAGCCCCTTCCGGCCCTCCTTACTGGGCCTCCGAGGGCCTCCAACCCTGCGGGAACCCCCCGGCTCAGGATAAAATGCTGCCCCAAAGGTGGGACTTCGAACACCCACCTCCGGCTTCTCCCTGCCCTAAAGATCCCGGGAGCTGCCCCAGGCCGCGGATGGGGATCCGGGACAGGGAGACTCCCTCAGGCCCCGGTGCTAATGTTTAGCCCGGGCTCTTTCGCTGTTCCGGCTTCCGCAGAGTCCCGGGATAAGCGGCATACCCTCGCCCGGCGCCGCAGGGCCCCGAGCCTATGGTCAGCAAAGGATCAGTGTCCATTCCCGGCCCCTTGCCGGGGGCTTCGGCCATTCCCCGTCCCGCACAACCTGCAGCTCCTGCCGCAGCTCTTCCGAGGCGGGCACCGGGGGTGGGTGCCTCCTACAGGGATGGAAAAGGGACCGATCCATGTGGACTCCTCTGCAGACATCTCAGTGACGGTCACCCTGGCCACCTCCTGAGCCATAAGGCCGCAGACAAGTTTCAGATACAGAACTCTGTCCAGAACTGCCAGGGAAGGGAGGAGGGGGGAAGGGAGGGAGGGACGGAGGGCGGGCTGGCTCTCGGTGTTTGAGGCATCAGCCCCTTCTGGGTGCCTCCTCACACCCATGATTAGCTGCTCCTAAGTGGCCTTGGTGACAATTAATAAACAGATCTTTGAAAATGTAACTAATTTAGAAAGTAAACCTTGATCCCTTTGTCTTCACCAAAGATCTGTAAGAAAGGACTTGGTTGGTGTAAAGCTAAATAGGGCTTAATATTGGATCACTTTAGAAGTTCCTCTGCACCATCCCTGCAGCCTGGACTGAAAAATATTTCTCACTAAAAATCAACCACTGCATTAGTATCTATGCCATCCTGCCCCCAAAAGGATAACTACAGATATTAATAACGAAAAATCAGGCCACTCCAATATTGAATTAAAGCTTACAGCTATTTAATAAAAGCATCCCAAACCTCTGACCCGAACAATAACCTCTAATCAAACTCTAACCTGCCCAAACTGTAAGTCCTAGCCCTACCCCTAACCAAACCACAGCCATAACTGTACACTAACTCCTAACTGTAACCTCTAACCCTAACTGTAACACAAACCCTTTCCTTTACTCTGCCCTTGGTTTCAGTGTTGGGGCCCTAAGTGGGCTGGTGGTGTCCTGGTCATAGTACACCTCTGTGGAACCCAGGCATTGTCCAGGTGGAGTGCTGTATTACAGCAGGTGTAATCCAGGTGGATCCACACCTGTGTGGTGTGAGAACTCCGGGATTGATTCAGGGGTCTCGTGTGGTGGTAAAGTCTCTCCTCCAACCTGTGCTTTCAAAGAAAAACTCTGCAGCCTCTTGTGGTTCGGTCTCAAGGCAGTTTGTTGCTAGCTATCTAAAAGATTGTCTTCGCCCGCCACGGCTGCCTAGATCAGCGGCCCAGGCAGAGACTCACACACTCCTGACACCCTCACTGTCCGGTGTCTCCGTCGTCTCTCTCCCCGCCCAAGGCTGCTGCTATCTTTTATATGATATATTACGTGTTATATGTTTACAGATTTTTCCCCAATACCTACTACCTATGTTACAAGGTGCTTTTCTACTCTAAACCAATTTGTGAGTGCCAATATCACCAAGAACATGGAGGTAAGGAAGAAGAAGGAGGAAGAACAGGATCAGGCCCACTTTCCTCCATCTTAGAACTTCTGACCCCTTTGTATAAAGTAAAACCCCCCTGTACAGGTGTTAAAACCCCCCTGTATAATATTAAAAAATTTTCCCCTCTAATTTGTGACTACTTTTACTATACCATCTAACCTTCTGTAACCGCTTATTCCACCTTCAAAGTTAGTAACTCATTCCATGGTTCAAACTCAAGATCACAGCTGTTTTCAGCTGCTTGCCAAGGTCTAAAATGCTTCTAACCAAGGCCTAGAACTTCTGAAAATGTCTGAGAGACATTTTGAGTTCCGACAGTGTGGAACTCAGGTGTTGTCCAGGTGTAACACCATGTAGGAGTGTGTGAGCTGAGTGCTGTCCAGGTGCAGTGCATTTTGCATCAGATGTTATCCAGATGTATCTATGCCACACCTCTTTGTGACTCAGGTGTGTGTCTGTCACACCCATGTACAACCCAGATGTTGTCACCTCTCACTGACAATTTCCCTCCTCAGCTGATGATGTCACCTTCATGGGAACAGGTGAGGATCCATACACATTGCACACATGACATCTGACACAGGTGTTGCTCAGTGGGTGTTTATTGCTGTTTCCATCACAATGCAACCTCCATGGGAGCACATCCTTCTGTGAGGGTGGGGTGAGGGCTGTTAGGCAAACCCCCTACCCCAAGTGTCTCAGGTGTCACCTGCTCATGACCCGCAGACATACACCTGCTCCTCTGTGATCCTTGGGGGCTTGGGGGATACTGATGGGGTCTTGTGGGGTGGCAACAGATTCCAGGGGGCCTCAGGTGTCTTTGGCAGGGTCCCAGGAGTCTCGGGGGAACCCTCAGTGGTCTCAAAGTGGTCAACACGGAAGGCCCAGCGCCCCGGGACCCCCAGGTTGCTGCGGTGGCTGAGGCTTTGCACTGCAGGCGTGCGTGACCCTGGCACGTTGTAGTAGTGGACGTCGTCTCCACTGTTGAACCCAGCCTGCAGGAGGGAAGATGGGGGAACGGGGGGGGATGTGAAGGGAGGGGAACAGGGAGATGGGAGAAGGTAGGGGGTAAATTTTGCCCAAATTCCCATTGAATTTTACTGAACATGAGCTTCATTTCACCCCAAATCCACTTCATTCCACCTAAAATACCTCTGATTTCAGACCAAATCTCCCTGTTTTCACTACAAATTCCCTTAATTCTACCCCAAAATCCCTTAAATCCTATTAAAATCCCCCTAATTTCACCCCAAATCCCTTTAATTACACCCAAATCCCCTTAATTCCACCCCAAAATGTTTTATCCCCCTCAAGCTCAGAATCCCTCCTAGCCGAGTGTCCCACATCCCTTGGACTGTCCTCATCTGCCCAGGGATGCCCCATGCCCAGTGTCTCCTGTCCCTCTCTGTATCTCCACCTGTGCAGGGATGCCCCCTAGGCCAGTGTGGGGATCCCCCTGGTTAGCAATGCCAGTTGTCCACTGCAAGTCTCCGTAGTTGAGCAGGACAAAGCAGGTGACGCCATCTGAGGCCAGCACAGCCTGGAAGGTGTTCACCTGCAGGGGGACATTGTCACCATGTCACTGTGACCCCCAGCTATGTCTCCATCCCTGTGTCCCCAAACCATTGGTGCCACCATGGTTAGGGACATCATGGTTGAAGGTCAAGATATTTGAGCGCCCCCACCTTGTCCCATATCCCACCTTGTCTGAGGCAGCCCCAAAATAGGCCACACGGTCCCAGGTGGCCACAAATGCCCAGGTAGGCTGTGGAGGCAGGTCCCCAGGTGGCACAGCAGGTGCCAGGTCCTGGGCCAGGCGTGCCAGCAGCTGGGCGTCCTGGCTCTGCCGGTAGAAGACGTTCCCTCCCAGACGGGTGTCCACATCAGCCCAGTACGGCGCCACAAACGGGTGGTGGCCTGGCAGCGGGAAGGGCTGGGGAGTGAACTCCGGGACCATTGTCCCAAAGGACACCACACCGTTGTTGTTCACCTGCAGGCAAAGGTCACCCATGGGACACACCTGGGTGGCACCAACCACAGTGACCCCTCTACAGTGGTGCCAGGTACAGTGTCTCCAGTCATGAGTCTCCATATCAACTGTGGTGATCCCTGTCATGGTGGCCTCAACTGTAATGACCCCCAACCTCCAGTCAGTCACCGCAGAACCTCTCAGTATAGGCCTGGAAGCCCCAGTGTCACCCCAGAATCCACCAGTAGGGGCCTGGAACCCCAAAACCACCTGAGGGTCCCACAGGTGTCCCCAGTTCTTCAGGGACCTCCACAGGTATCCCTGATGTCCCCAGGGGTCCCCACTCACAAACGTACTCAAGGAGGAGGAGGAGGAGGAGGTGACATCTGGTGGCTGCATCCAACTTGTCACTTTGGTGTCACCTTCCACCTGTGTTACCCACCAAATGCCACCTCCCCCATGTCCCCCTCGTCATATGACCTACATAGAGTGAGCGGTAGGCATGCCCAAAGAAGGAGAAGTTTTCCTGCAGGAAGATCTCAGGGCTCGTCCCGTCGTCCTCATGGTGGGTGGCCTCATCCCCCACCCCTGGTCCGAAGGGGTACAGGACCCTACCTGGGGACACACACCTGTCACACACCTGGGATACAGGTGGCACACAGGATGCCACCTGGTGAACACACCCGGTAGCACCTGGGACCTCCCAGTGTGGAGCTGGGACCTTCCAGTATGGGCCTGGGACTCCCCATATAGGTCAGGGACCCCCAGTGTCACCCCAGAACCTCCCAGTTCATAGGGCCTGCTGGTAGGGGACTGGGATGTCCCAGTATGGAGCTGGGACCTTCCAGTATGGGCCTGAGACCTCCTGGTGTGGGACTGGGACCTCCCAGTATGGGCCTAGAACCCCCAGAATCACTCCAGAACCTCCCAGTATGGGACTGGCACCTCCCCAGTATAAGCCTGGGACCCAAACTCACCGAGGGGTCCCACAGGAGTCCCTGATGTCCTCAGGGGTCCCCACTCCTCTGCATGGCTGAGGAGGAGAAGGACGACAATGGGGGAGACCTTCATGTGTCCAGGCCTAGGGGAGTGTGAGGGGATCGCCCATCAACCATGTCTCCACGTACCCTGTGACCTCTCCATCTTCCCCATATCCCCAGTGCCCCAATATCCCCCCATGCCCCTCCATGTCTCCCCCAATGTCCTCAGTGTCCCCAGTGACCTCCCCCATGTCCCCTTGTCCTTCCTATGTCCCTCATGTCCCCCCTCCATATCCCCATGTCCCTCATGTGCCCCATGTCTCACGTGTCCTCACTGATCTCCCCTATTCCCCTGTGTCCAGCATGTCCCACATATGCCCCCATGTCCCATATGTCCCCATGTCCCCCATGCCCACCAGCGTCCCCACTCACTGCATTCCCATGGTCCCAGTCTTTCCCAGTGCTGTGACTGGAGCCACTTTATGCCCAGGGAGGAGACAGGTTGGGGGGTGGGGGATGACATGGGACACCCCCAGGTGGCACCTCCCAGGGCCCCAGGCAGTTCCGTCTCTGCCCAGGCTGCAAGTGGGGGGGACTGGAGTGGACTGGAGGGGACACTGGGGTGGTGGCTGGGATGTGCTGGGGGACACTGAGAAGGCTGGAGAGGACACTGGCAGGGGGCACTGAGTGTGACTAGGATAAATTGGGAGGCACTGGGGGTTACTGGAACTTACTAGAAGACACTGAGAATGTTGGAGGGGCACTGGGGAGGGAAACTGGGAGTTACTGAGATGCATTGGGAGGCATTAGGGGATACTGGGATGTACTGGGGGACACTGCAAGGCTTAAATGGGCACTGGGGGGACACTGCAAGGCTTAAATGGGCACTGAGGGGACATTGAGTGACACTGGGATGCAGGAGGAAGAACTGAGGAGGGACTGAGACAAACTGGGAAGGATTTGGGAACACCATAGGGAATAGTGGGGGAAGACTGGAATGCACTGGGAGGGACTAGGGACAATGGGGGTATACTGGGGCCAGCTGAGGGAGTGTGGCAGAGATTGGGGTGTAGGGGGGGTGTTGTACTGGGAGAGACTTGGGATACCGGGAGGCACACTGGGAGGGACTGGGGGGTGGGTACTGGCATGTACTGGGAGGAACTGGGGATACTGGTGAGGGGTCCCCTCCAGGTGTGCCATAGCACACACCTCCCCAGGTGGACTCAGATGTCCGGGAACCCCCTCCCGCTCCCCGCACCAAACATCCGGGTGCCCCCCCGCCCTTCCCCCCACGTGGGACTCAGGCGTTGGGAAATATTGACCAACGGGGGAAGGGGGGACACGGAACTGCCCGCGGCAGGACAGGGTGGGAACAGCCCTCCCCACCCCCACTGCCCCCCAGAATATTCCCACACTCCTGTTTTCCCAGAATTTCCAGGATTTTATCCCAGATCACCAGCAAACGGCGTTTTCTCTCAGGTTTTATTTTGGGGGCTAAAGCACAATTTTGGGACTTACAAAAATCCGGGTTTTCCGGATCTGAGGCTGTTTGAGGATGACGTCAGTGATAGGGCGCGGCCACTCAGGTGAAATGTCAATTTTCCACATCACTGGGTGGGAAGAAAGGCAAATCGAGGGGGACTTTCTGGCAGTTTCTTCCACTTTAGGGTCTTTTCCCCCTTTTCTGGACGTGTTATGCCCATTTTTGAACTCTTTCTCCTACGTTGTTTGTGTCTTTCCCCAATTTGAGAGGCTTTCCCCCCCTTTTTTATTCACTTTTCCCTTGTTTTGGACTATTTTTCCCCTTTTCTTGTGCTTCTCTCCCACTCCTCTTCCCCCCTTTGTGGGGGGTTTTTTCCCCCGTTTCTGGTGTATCTCTTTCCCCCTAGTTTTTGCACTCTTCCTCACTTTTTAATATTCCTTTTCCCTATTTTTGGGTCCTTCACCCATTTTTGGTGTCTTTTCCGGTCTTTGTGTTTTTATTCTCATTTGGGGGATTCTTTTGACCTCTTTTTCCCTCCCTCTTTTCTCCTTTTCTGATCTCTTTGCACTTGTTTCAGTTCTTTTCCTCTGCTGCCTCATTTCCTCATTTACAAGTCTCTTTTCCCATCTTTTGGGGTTATTCTCCCCCTCCCCCCCCACCCCATGCTGTTGCTGCTTTTTTTGGTCTCTTTTCCTGAATTTTGGGGTCCTTTCCCCAGTTTTGGCTCTTCCCCCTCTATTTGGTCTCCTTTCCCATCTTTTCAGGGCTCTTTTCTCCCTTTTGGAGAACTCGTTTCCCCGTTTTTGGTCTCTTTTCCATCTTTTGGGCCTTCTTTCCCCTTTTGGGGCTATTCTTTCCCTCTTTTTTAGGCTATTTTTCTCCCCTTTTTTGACACTGTTCCCCCTAGTGCCACCCACAAGATACCCAAATCCCCCAGTGTCCCCATGGTGTCACCCACCTGGGTGATGTCAGGCACCGCCAGGCCTCGGCCAGGGCCCATGTGTCACTTGTCACCGTCCCATCAGGTGCTGCTGGTGGCACCATCGTAGTCGCTGCAGATGCCACAGAACCGGCGCTTCCCCAGGCACCTTCACTGTCACCCCCGCAGTGCACAGCTCCACCAGAATTCCTGGGATTCAGCTGACCTGGAGGGTCGTGTGCGTCTCCGTGATGGTCAACGGTCCTGGGAACTCCGCAGGCAGGGGGTGGGCTGTTGAGCTGGAGAACACCAAATTAAGGGAAAAAAGGGGATTTGGGGTGATACAGGGGTGAAGGGTAGTTGGAGGAAAAGAGGGTGGAAAAGAGGAAGTTTGTGGAAAAATGATGGGATGAATCGAGGCATGGTGGGGGTAGAACAAAGGACAACCCATGTAGGTGCTTCTCTGACATGAAACTGGGAGAAGAAAGAGCAATTTCAGTCAAAATTATGGGGTGCATCAATTAATGGATGTCTCAGCCTCTCACACAAGTGCTTCACTAGCAGGAAACTGTGAGCAGAATACAGCAATTTGGGACAAAATTAAGGTAAGAACATCCTGTGGTGCTGGTGGGATGAGACAACCCGTGCGGACTCTTACTGGGTCTGAAATTAGGAAAAAAAAATCCATCTTTTTAAAATTAAAATTAAGGTCAGAAGGATGTTTAGGATGACAACATGCAGCGGTGACAACATTTCTGGGTACCAGCCAGGGTGTTGACAATTTACCCAGCCCTTCCTGTTTTTCTACATGGTGATGAAGCCGTGAGGCAGTGAAGAGGTGAAGTGCCACCAGGCTGGTCCCCAATGTCCCTGACATCCCCCAGCAGCTGGAACCACAGGGAGTCCTGGGGGTCACATATGCTGGCCCACACAGGTGCCGGTGGCCAAGGTAGACCCAGTGATGCCATCAAAGGTGACGAAGTGGGTGGCAGGGGACAGGGCGTAATGCCCCAGGAGTGCGATGCAGGTGTGGGTGCTGTCATGGAGGCTGCAGGTGTGGCCGAAGGGACAAGCAAAGGGGTGGCACTGGAGGCCGCTGGGCGCCTGGCAGGTGCAGGATTGGGAGCAGTCAGAGGTCAGGATGGTCTCAGTGATCTGTTTTCCATGGATAAAATGTGGAAAGTGGGTAAAAGTGGCCTAAAATGGCCAAAAAATAATGGAGATGATAATGCTGTGAGGTCTTTTGGGAGGGAGGAAGGGGCCCATGGTTCCCATATCCCCTGTGTGTCTCCATATTCCCAATGGGTGCCCATGGGGACCACCAGCATCTCCCCAGCATGTCCCATGTCCCCACACATCCCCATGTCCCCCATGAGGGGCACACTGGGGAGACTGGGACCTGCTGGGGGACACAGGGAACATTGGTGAAGATACAGGAAGATAATGGGACATGCTGGGAGACACTGGGAAGGACACTAAGTTCCCCCACTAAAAAACTGGGATAAATTGTGAGGCACTGTGGAGGGAACAGAAACAAATTGAGAGGGAATGGGAACACTGTGTGGGAAATTGGGGGAGGACTTGAGTACCCTGGGAGGGACACTGGACAATACAGGGAATACCAGGGGAGAGTGGAGGGGAGGAGACACCCTGAGCCCTCTCACTATGAGGAGAGACCCTGGGGTGGAGGGGAATCCACTGGGGGATGTGTTTGGGGGAAGTGGGACACATGGGGAGAAATGATAACATGGAGGATGCTGGGGCGTACTGGGGACACTGGGAGGCACACCAAAGGGATCCGGGATCAGTGGGGAGCTTGGAAGAAGCAAGGGCTGGAACTGGGTGGCACTGGGGCCACACTCACCTGGAGTAGCATTCCTGGGGGAGGCAGCCACAGTTCCCTGGGAAGACGCAGCAGGCCCCGTTGAACAGCAGCCCCTCGGTGCACTGACACCCCTCAAAGCACCGCTCGCTGCAGGGTGGAGGGGGGTGACACACCTGCGCAGGTGTGCTCACCGGTGCGGGCATACAGCTGGTAATGGCTCTTGAGAGGGGGCAGGTGAGAGCTGGGAAAGGGAGGGAAGAAACAAAGAGTGTCAATGGGGGGCAGTGGGGCTACTGGGGGATCATCTGGGGTCAACCAGTGCCTCTTGGGATCAATGCCATCCCACCTTTGGGGTGGGTGGTCCCATGGGGCTCCCATTTGGAGACAGGGGTGGCCCCACTAGTTGCACAGGGTTCCACCAGGGGGACACAGGCTTCTCATTTTGGGAGAGGTCCCCTTTGAGGGTGTGATTTCAGCATTTCCCAGATGGGGGCTATTATGGACAAATTCAATTGGTGTTATGGGTAATAAACACAATTCGCGCCATTCCCTGTATATGTTAAATACTTGTTAGATTATACTTGTTTGTACTAGCCTCTTCCCCTTCCCCCCGAGACCAGGTGTATATTGGAAACTGATTTACAAGAAGGTACAGCTCGCCAGGAGATGGGCAATGTCTGGAGAGATGCGGGGGACCCCAGGTGCTGATCATCACCTGAACGACCCGAGATGGATATCATGGAAATCCTCGGACAAATACATGTGAATGCAGCGTTCCCATAAATTTCATCACGGGATTCAACAACTCCGGACACTGAATTGTTCTCCCTCATCTCCAAAAGAGAAAATCTTATTAACATATGGACTCTGAATAGAAGAAAAGACTGATTGCAGAAATCTTGGTCTCAGGCGGAATTTCCCTATAAAAACCGCTTGTGCCAGGATGGAGGTGTGTGGGCATAGGGGAAAAACCTCTCCTGAGGCTGACTCCTTGTTGCACACCCAGGGTCGATCCCCGGGCTCGGCACTGTGTTTTTTTTCATGGCTCGCTAGATAGAATTTGACCGCAAATAAAACTATTTTTATTTTTTAATTTGGCTGAATAAATTTTCATTTATAACAATTGGGGAGGCTAATTATAGAGAAATTAATTAACAAGAATTTATTAAGCAAGTAGTATTAAGCAAAAGACAGAGCTGGGTGACCAGGGAGTCTCTGCTCTACCATGGCGCACCTTCCCCTTTGACCTTTTAGTTTTTATAGTCCTTTTTTTTTTTTTTTTTTCCCCCCTGGTTGACGTATTTTCTCTCGATGCACTCTGTGCCGGTGCAATTGGCTGCTAGGAGGTCTTTTTTTCTGCCCTTGGTGATCATAGGAATGAAGGCTCCTCATTTTCCTTGCAGATTGTCCTTGGCTTAAAAGTTAACTTGTATATAATTAGTTACAGTCTTCTATGCTAGTTGCGTTCCCTACTCAGTTCAAATTCTTATCTCCTTCAACACTCGTTTTGATGAACAAAGACCTCTTTATTTATTACAGGGGCTTAGCAATGCAGACATGCTCCATTCCACTCCCCTCGACCTCCAAATTCCCACCCCCACCAAAATTTCCACTCCCTGCAAAATTCCTGTCCCCACAGAAATCCTGACCTGTGAATTCTCATCCTCCCAAAACTTCACCACCCCAAATTCCCAACTCCAAACTTCCTGTCACCTCAAATACCCAAATCCCCCCAGAATTCCCAATTCCTCCATGTACTCACGGCAACCCGTGGTCTCCCGACATTCCCATAGCAGGCCTGCGGCTGCCTGGCACGCAGCTGCCTAGCCCTGAAAGCCTGGACAGGGGTCTCCACCCTCCCGCACAACTGGCACCCAAAGGTCACCAGGAACGTGCAGGGCGGCACCGCCCCGTGACACCCTGCAAAGGGTCCCTCGGGGTCCCCGAGCACCGCGCAGCACCTTGCCAGGTGGGTGCAGTTTGGGGGGAGCTGCCCAGAGCCTCCCGTCGGGGTCCCCGTTGATGTTGCCACAGAGGCCCCGGGGCCGGCGGGATGGGGTGCATTGCCATCCTAGAGGATTTTGGGGCTCCTCTGGACCTAGAGCAGCTGGTGGGGCCCCACCTGCACCGCCCCCACGCAGCCACAGCAGCAGCAAGTGGCGGTTGCCATCCACCTGGGGGAGACAGGGGGGAGGATTCTGTAAGGGAAGTTGCACCTTTTGCCTCAAAGGTGGGGCAAAATAGGGTTTGCACCCCCAAGAACAGGATTTGCACTTCCAAAACTAGGGTTTGGATTTCCTTCTGCGCACCTCAAACCCACGGTTTACATCCCAAAAAGGGATGGTGATTAGACTCCAAAAAGAGAGTTTTCAACACCAAAATCATAGTTTCCAGCTCAATCCCACAGTTAGCACACCAGAAATGGTCTGTACACCCTAGAGTGCACACTTAAAGTGGTGTGTGTACCCCAAACAGGGTTTGTACTTACAAAACCACACTTTCACCCCCAAAAGCATTGTCCCCAAAACATGGTTTGCACCCACAAAACAGGGCATGCACCTCAAAGTCAGAGCTTTAACCCTAAACAAGGCCTTTCCTCACTGTTGCACCTCCCAAAATCCTATTTCCATCCCCCTTTTTGGCTCCCAAGTATCTTTTTGCCCCCAAAACTAGGGCTTGCACCCCCAAGTTCCCGGGGCCTCTACTCACTGTCACCTCCCACTGCTGTCCCGTCCACCACCACAGTCACCCCGTGCGCCGATGCCATCACCATCACCATCACCCACTGCACCTCCATGTCCTCCTGCTCCAAGGCCACGATGATAGGCTCCAGCTCTTCTTCAGGCTCACCCCTCTCCAACTCCTGCAGCAGGAGGGTGCAGGACTCCCCAAAATTCCCCAGGTGCCCATCAAAAGTGCTGTAAGCCCCTGCCCCCAAAAAACTGGCACTGTCTGCAGGTGCAGGGGTGGCACTCCAGTACCCCACCCTACACTGTGCATTCCTTGTCACTGGAGCAGTCTGGAATGGGATGACACTCCAGCCCCCCATTTTCAGAACAGATACGCTGCTCAGTGCAGGGGGACCCAGGGTAAAACTGCACTCCCCTGGGCCCTCCAAAACAGCCACACTGGGGGAGGGGCATGCAGTAATCCCCCTCTGGAAAAATCTGGGATCACAGAAACAACCTTCAAAGCATGTGGAGGCATCAGAGCAGTCCTGAGGTCCAGCTTTGCGTTTGCAGATGCAGGGGGAGGGGGGGCGGTGCAGAGCTCATAGTGCTAGTTTGGGGGGCACACAGGGCCTGTCAGGAAGGGAGAAGGGTTGGGAACACCAAAACCCCCACAGAAACTCCCTGCAAAGCCTCAAAACCCTAATGGACACCCCAGATTCCCATGGATATCCCAAAATTCCTCATCCAGGCCTCCCCTTGTGCAGACCCCAAATACCCCATGGACACCCCAAAACTCCTTTTGTAGACTCCAAAACCCCACTGACACCCTAAAGCTCCACATGGAGACCCAAAAACCCCTGGGAACACCTCAAACCTGCCATGAAAACCCCAAAGTCCCCACAGACAGCCCCCACCTCCCTTCCCCTTGCCAGACACGCCAAATACCTCCATGGACAGCCCAAAACTCCTTGCCTAACCCCTGTGTCCCTCTCTGCCCTCCAAACCCCCCCCATACTCTCCCAAGCCCCCCAAGTCCCCCCATACTGCAGAAGGCAGCCATTTTTCACAGCTGTGGTCACCAGTGGCCACACAGATGGAGCAAGGTCTGGGAAATGGGGGAAGAGACTGGGAAAAGTGGGATGAGGTCTGAGCCATGTGGCAAGGGTCTGGGCCATGCAGGATGGGGTCTGGAATGCACAAGATGAGGTCTCGGACACAATGATAAATTTCACAGAATTTCAGAGAATGACTAGGTTGGAAGAGACCTTAAAGATCATCAAGTCCAACCCATGCCCTAACTCCACCACCTCCCTGGGCAGGCCATTCCAGAACTTTATCACCAGGAGACAATGGGATTCGTGAGGAACCAGGAAATTCCAAGCCAAGTCCTGGAAGTTTCTGGGAATTCAAGTGCAAACTTCACCAAATACAGAGTATTTTAGCCCAATTTCATAACAAATCCTCAATTTTCATCCCTGTGGACATGATGAGGAACATTGTCAATGATTATCTGATGATGATACAATGATCATCAATAAAGAATATTCCAGCCCGTTACAATAGGATTTTTTGCCACTAAATAACCCAATTTCTTACCATTTTCATGGAGAAAAATATAACACTTCCTCAAAGAATGGGGTCACTCCACATTGGGTCCTCAACTGACCTCCAGGCTTGATCCCTTTAACCAAATTCTACTATTTTTGGTGCACTTTTTGGTGGTTCTCTCTCTAAATTATCCACTTTGTAGCCAACACCGAGATAATGGAGATTTTGGGGTGGTAAATTATTCCAGATGAGACAACTTCTTCCTTAGGAAGGGTTTATTTTGTGTGGATTATGAGATCAACCAAGACTTTGGGTGGGATTCCCACACACCTCTGGGTTGTTCAAATTTGGATTTGGAACTGGCTTGAGGATCCTTTGGATACTGAAGGAAAAACCCTCCCAATTATCCCAATTTACAGAAGAAATTATCTGTCCCCCACCTCTTGATGGACACACCAGCAGCCTGGCATGTGCTGGTGTAGAGGGCAATGATTGGACACATCCCTTCTTCCTGATCAGAGATCAGGCAGGAGTCATGGATGCAACTCTGGAAGTACTGGTGGCCATCAGCATGACCATGACATGCTCTAAAGGGTCCATCCGCTTCCAAAATAATTTCGCACCCCAACCCAGAGACTTCCTGCTGCAGCCAGGAAAGTGTGACAGTGCTGGAACATTCCACTGTTGACCTCTCACCACATCCTGGGACATCTGTGACCTTCCAGCTGCTCCCAAAGGCATCTGGGTCTGCTATCACATGGTTGTTCCTCATCATCATGTTGTTGCTGGCAGCACCAATGTAGTTCCCACAAGGCCCACACAGGGTGTTGGCAAAGCCATTTGGCAGTGACGTGGCTGTGCCAATTGTAGGTGACAATAAGGCCAAAATTGGTCTCTACAACCTGCCCACTGCGATAGACAACAATCTTCCTTTCACTGTGGTGATATGGGAGGTTGACCAGCTGTTGCATCCCAGGACAATGAAGGGGATGCTGAGACTGGGATGCTCTGGGAAGACACTCATCTTTAAGAAAGGGCAACCCAGTGGGATGCTCTCCCACAGTCCCTTGCCTTGTTATGGTAATGATCCCAGTTACATCACCCCTGTTCTACTCCCTGTGGGAATCCTTAAAATCAGAGTTTTGGGCAAGTTGCAAAAGGCCGGCCTCAGAGACAGCGGAACTGCAATTAGAACTAGGCAGTAGACATAAGATTTGTCAGCAGAAAAATTATACAAGAAGTAGAAAGTAAGGACAAATAGAACAATGGTCTGCGTATTAGCACTTGGCTAGAATAACTCCCTAACTTACAGAAAAGTGTATCTAGTCAAGATATTAGGAAGTTCTAAGCTTAATAATGGAGCTCTGTGCATTGTATCTTAAGGCTTACAAGCAGGGATTTTATTCTAAATAAGTGAGCATTGTTTTAACCAAAGGTACTTGTGCTTATAGTGGCTGGATAGAACTACTGTCAATATGCTTTTGCTTTGTGTGATTGGTCAAAAAGCTTTTAAAGTAAGTTGTAACATTAAGTTCTTTGTCTGCTGCCTGGGATGTGAGCTGCTGGCATCTTCCCATTGTCATAACCGTGTAATGAGACTGATGCTGGAAAACAAACAGCTCGAGACACGTTCCTCAGCAGTCCCATCCCATTCATGATTTGTACCCAGTCCCCCGGCCGGCGATACTCCCCAGTTCCAGAATGTTCCTCACTCCCATTTATCCCATTAGTGCCCATTCCTTACTGTTCCTCCCCTGAATACCTGTTGGATTTTCCCCTGTAACACCACCTTTGCACCGCCTCTGGTCCCTCTACCCATTGGCCCTCAGACCTGATGCTCTGCCTCCCTTGTCCCATATAAAACCCTGGATCCTCCTTTGTTCTTTTCCCTGGACTCTTCGGTGTGTAGGTGCGATAAACTACCACTGGAACGCTATACAAAAAACCCCGGCTGCCAGCTTTTTCCACTGACCCGCAACATACCATCTGGTGGCGTGAACTGGGTGGTGCTCACGTCTGGTGCTCACTGGGCTATCCCTTCCTAGAGTAGACACTCTTGGGAAGGCGGTGGCCTCAGCAGCTTCTGCCAAACCGCCGCAAACAACTCTTATTAGTCTGGGGAGAAAACCATAAAGAGTGATCACATTTGTAGTCTGATGGTAAATTCCAACTATTTTCAACAGCCAGAGCAACCAAACTGCTTCAATTTAATTAAATTTTGGATTGAATTATATTTGGGATGCAAGAGTATGATAAGGTCCAAGTCCCATGAGGAAGCTGACCAACCACCCATTGGTCTGGGAAGAAAACCATAAAAATTGGTAACATTTGGGTCTGACAGAGAATTCCGTTTTCAACAGCCAGAGCACACCAATTATATTGGTTTAATTACATTTCAGATTCAATCATTAGTTAATGCAATGAGATTTGGGATGAGGTTTGGGATGAGATGGCGAATGCAGTGAAAAGATAAAGGACCACTTCCTAAACTCACCATGATTTTTCCACAATGTTCCCTGCTGATGCTGATGGTTTTGTTGTAGACTTTGACTGTCACCACGGCAACGGACGATATGCGGTTGTCACTTTGGTGGCCATTCTGCATCAACACCTGGAATCCCACCAAATTTTGGGTGTCCTCACACAACCCAACCAGTAGGTAAGACACACATCCCCTGGAAGATAAACCTCCTTTGATGAAAGGTCTCATAGTGGGTGGCTCCAACAGTGGTGCAGACCCCAAAAATTTTGGGATAACAATCCTAGATCCCCTCCTCCACTCCGCATTCCTCCTTAGTGGTACAACCAGAATCCCGGTACACTGCCTGCCGCCGCTCCGCGTCACACACAGAGCGTTGGGTGCAAGTGAGGTCACCCCAAAATTCCTCGCCAAGGCCATAGAAGAGACCTTGAAAGACACAGCCACATTCAGAGGGGCAGTGCAGGTGTTGGCTTCAAGGTCACATAGGTGTCCACGCAGGTGCTGACAGTGGAACAGCTGGATGACACAGTGGGGATGCTACAGGTAGGGAGGCAGGCGAGGCCACAGATGCTGTGGGTGCTGTTGGGCAGGTAAGCGAGAGCTGCACAGGGAGGGAGACAGCAGTCAGGGTGGGGCGGCACATAGTGGGACAGACTTCTTTGACTATCTGTACCCTGGAGTCTCCATGGATTTTAAGGAGTCTCCATTGATCTTTTGAAGTCTCCATGGACTTTCTGGAATCTCCCTGGATTTCCATGGATTTCCTGCTTGGATTTGCTGCCATAACCTTCCAAGCCATGAGTCCATGGATCTTTAGTCCCACATTAATTAGGCCCTGCCCACCCCAAGGACTATTTTCACCCAACCATCCTCTACTCATGACATCCCACTGTTGTCCTCCAATTGGAAACATTGATCCCTCCTCCTGGCAGTTATCAGCATAGATCTTGAAGGCATGGCACAGCACATTGTGATGCCCCTCATTGGCACACAGGTCGTAGATACAGTTCTTCACATAGCTATTGGGACTGATAGTGTCATGACATGCTCAGAACAGCCCAGAATGTGGGACAACTTCCCACACCAGGTCTCTGCCTTGTATGTCACCACCTGGTCCCATCCACACAGCTTACAGTCCCCACTACAGGTGTCCAGGCAGTGGCCGCTCTCACTGGTCACCTTCTAGCTCTGCGCAAACTCTACAATATCACACGCCTGTTTACCATCAAGACAGAGTGCATCATCCCAGAGTTCCCTGTTGTTCCTGCACATTCCGCAGACTTTTCCAGAAAGAGCAGCCAGAAGTTTGATTACTACATGATCATCCCACTTGTAGAGGACTTTCAGCTTGAAATTTGATTGGATCAACATGGATTTACCCTTCTGGTGGATGTGGAGCTTCCCATGGGAGGAGATGGGGAGGTGCGAGAGGTGATTATTCACCTGCAGAACAAAAACCATCAAAACAACCAAAATCCATCAAAATTTGGTACAGAGTTCAAGAAATCTAGAAGTGTTTTCATGCAAGGGTTACCTGCACACCAGGAAATCTAGGAATTATTTAGGAAAAGACCCTCAAGATCATTGCTAAATATGTAATTTCAGCAAAAAATTTTAAAAATTGGGAAATTATGATAGTTTCTGCTTACCCTCACCATCCCGTTCTCTGATGGGACAGCAGTGACAGTGACATTGTCGACATGGATGGTGATGGAGCCAATGGAGGAAACTTTGGAGTTCCCATTTGCCCTCTTTTTGACCTCAACAGAGAAGGCAGGAAGGGTGGGATCGGGATCGCAGATGGTGGTCAAGGTGTAGGCACATGTTCCCATGAAATCAAAGGTCTTTCCATGAAAACTGCAGTAGTGTGGCCCGCCAGCAAGCCAACAGATGGAGAAAGTCTCCTGGAGGCACTCTGGTTGTCCATCCATCTCACACCTCTCCTTGCATACCAAATCCTCACAGGAGAGCAGTGTGGGGACTGAAAAAAAGGGGAAAACCTATGCATGGTCAACTGCACAACACCCAGCCATTGGGGTGACACAACAATGGACTGACTGTACTCACTGGCAGCACAGATTTCCAGGAAGCCATATCCAGCGTGACTCTGGAACCCAAACACCAGAAGCCCAATGGGCATCTGTGAGTTCTCAGCGCTCTGCATTGTTGCACTCAGGGTGATGCTGGCCCAGGAGAAATCTGTGCTAGGAATGGCCTGCCATGCCACGGTGTTGTCTGGAGGATGATTTGAGGGTGGTGGTGGCAGTGGCAGTGGTGGGTGCAATGAGGATGGCATGGTTATCCTGGCTGGGCACACTGCTGAAGTGGAACGCAGTGCAACGGGCGCTGACAGGTGGGACAACAAGGAGGAAGGGATCTTGACAAGTTGACCTGCTGAAGAAAAACACCACCTGCACTGCCACCACCACACTGATGTACAGGTGGGAATTATGGTTCAGAACAAAAGTCTGCACCTCCCCTGTCACCATGGTCACAGTGGCATTCCTGCTCCCGGTGTTGTAGGTGATGGTGTTGTCTTCATCCATCACCACATAAACAAAGTCAACCTCTGTCTGCCGTGGGTTGGGTGGCACCACGTAGCTCCTCCCCAACGCTGTCATTGGGAGGAGCTGCTCCACCACAAAGTCAAAGCCAGCAAACACCTTGACACAGGTGTGGCCACTGAGGATGGCCACACCTGTGTCGGCCACTACAACTGTGCCAGTGAAGTCCTGGCTGCTCTGGAGCTGCAGGCTGTGGTAGGGCTGCAGGAATAGGCAGAGCACCGCAACAGGGACATAGGCGGCCCTAGCACAGTGGAAAGTGGCGGTGGTGGTGGCACTGCTGGCCACCATGAACTCAGGCTGTAGGTGTAATTCCCAACAGGTGTCACCACACAGTACCTGTTGCCCAGGCTCTCCATAGGTAGGAGGGCAGTGGCACCCACAGTGTATCCCATGGTGCTGACAGACACCATTGAGCTATCAGCACTCGCCTGGACCACCAAGGTTTTACGGGAAGTGCAGCTTCCAGTGAGTTCCAGGTTAGCAGAGAGGGGCAAGGGCACAGTGACATTTGGCCTCAGGGTGATGTTCTGGGTGACAGAGCCACCGCAGAGCATCACTGACACCTGAGTGTCAGCAGGGCCACAGGAGGTGAGCAGCAGCTGCAGCTATGCATTAGAGGACTCATCATGGTTCTGTGGGAACACAGCCAGAACTCACGGCCCCAGTAACTGGCACTGGAGAGCGCTGGGAAAATGGAGGAAAAAGGGGGTCTTGGTTAATTTTTATATTAACCAAGGGGTTATATAAATGGGGCTTTTATGTTTTTATATTGATATTTTTATATCAATTCTGTATGTATTTATATATGATTTTCCCTATTTTGCAGTAGAAATTGTACTGAAATTACATTAAAGATATGACTGCAGTATCCAATTTATAAAGTCTAGTTTTATATATAATCATAATAGAAATTCTATTTATAGTTTGTTATGTTAATAAACAAAATTTGCATTCTATTAACAAATTATTAAAATATATATCAATGTGTTAATTGTAAGAAATAATGGTGTATTATTAACTAATATTAATTATATAAAACACTATTCCTTCATACAACAATATAACTAGCTATTTCTATTATTGTACCCTGTGTTCTTGACATATTAATAGTAATATGTAATATACTTTAGTATACTACTACTTATTAGCATACTGATAAAATATCAATAATATAAGACTCATATATCAGTAAAAAAATCTGAATTACATTTTAGCCCGTTATGGTATTATTATACTTATTATCCATTATATAACTTAGTTATATAGTTTTCTGTGTTATTATTATACAGATCTCTAATTGTAATACTGTGATATACAATACTTATATTTAAATATATAGTAGTATTTTTTCTATTGTTTTGTACTTAATTTTGATAGAAATACCAGCAAAAATTTAATCCAAATCCATAAATCTTAAAAATAATTAAAGTAATATAATAATGAATGTTGTGGCTATTTAATTTATTTCAGTATTAATCATAGTAGAAAATAAATTTACATGTTATTTTTATAATTACTTACAACAGCAGATGATTTATATTTTCTCTATAAAATTATACAGATAATGATTTTAAATAATTTTATTTCTTGTTTCATAGAAACAGTTTGGGAAAAAAACAGTAAGAATCAAGCTAAAATAAGCAGTAAGGAGCAAAATTACAAAGGTAAAGAATATATTAGAGACCAGAATAGAATTAATATACCATTATATTATACTATATTGCAATATAATCTATCATTATATGTAATCGATATAGCAATTATAATAGTAAATATAATACAATATTATAATAATAATTATAATACAATATTATATTGTAACACAAAATATAATAATATACACATATGATATTAAATATAATATCCATAAATTACAGAAAGTTATAATACCTTATAATACAATAACATAATGTAATTCATATAACGTTATGCAACTCTATGTCATATTACAGTGTAAAATAATCTTTAAATGTATTATATAATTATATTTATAATAATTTATATGTAATCTATCATTTATAATTCTCTTAATAACTAGAAATAGTGATATATATTAGCAATATTTAGTGTACTTTATTAATAAATGCACTAATATATGAATAGAAAATATATTACGTGGTTTTGTAGTCCACATTTTTGTACATCCATATAAACTTTTAAATAACTTTATACTGAATTTTCATGGAAAGTTTTACTAAAAAATGCAAATAAGAATAATGATAATAACATAATTACAGCAGAATAGATCATATGTTGTATTTTTATATAATTACAGTAGAGATAATATTACACATTCATATAGAAGTATAGTAGTGTATGTATATTATTAATATATCCCCAACATATAAAAATACAGATAAGTATTAATAAGCAATTATTGTCCTATTAATCAATATTATGCTATTCAATTACACTATTTAATATTATCAATAGCCAATTAAAATTTTATGAAATTTGAATAACATAAAATGTATATATAAAAAAATATAAATATATTAAAGTAAAACTAATACTTTAAAAGGATCAAAACTTTAAAAGGATAAAAAATGTTTTCAGGGCTTTTTTAAAGCCTACAAAACAACAAAATAGCCCTTTTTAGCCCCAAAACAGGTTAAAAGGTTAAAAGGACTGGATATCTTCTCCTAATTAAAAGAAAAAAAAAAAATTATTGAGATTGTCAGGGGAAAAAAAGAGGAAAACGAGATAAAAATCTATTAAAACTTGGTGTATATATAAAAGCTCATCATATGGATTTTTTTCTTAATTTAAAAAAATAGGAAATTGGGGATATTGGATAAAAAATAATTCTGGTGATTTTTTCAGGACAAAAATGGAATTTGAGTGTTTTGGGGGAAAAATAGGGAATAATGAGGTTTGACTGTGAATAAAAAATAGGATTAAAGGGGGCTTTCCAAAATAACACATGAAAATGAGTTGTTTTTCTAAAAAAAGCGATCTTGAAGAAAAATGAACAGGGAAATAAGCAATTGGGATTTTAATAATTAGAACAGAGTGAAAGAGTTTTTTTTCCTTTAAAAATACCTGAAACCTAAAACAGAGTTCAAGAGGGCTTTTTTCCTTAAGGAATAAAATTTTAAAATAAAATTAAACCAGAAAAAAAAAAAGAATAAAAAAGAAAATATAAAGAGAATAAAAGGGTTTTTTTAGTTAAAAACACTATCTAAAAATTGGGTTGATAAAAGGTTTTAGTGAAAATTAGAAAAAAGCCAGGAAAATAAGGAATAAAAGGGGTTTTTTCCCTTAGGAACCAACTGCTTTTACGAAAAAATAGAAAATAAAGTTACTTTTTTCATTTAAAAATACCTTTTAAAAATATATATATCTTCCCTGAAAAAAAATACAATTCCAGCATATGGGTTTTGTCTTGGAAAAACATTAAAACTGATCATTAGAATTTTAGATAAAACAAAACCAAAAAAACCACAAAAGCCACCCGAAAAGTAAACAGAAATAACCAGGACAAAGTGCATTTTTTTTCTTCTGTAGAAAGTGAAGAAAAAGGGGATTTTTCCCATGAAGATTAATGAGGCATTCATGAAAAAAAAAAGAAGATTCTAAAAGCTTTTGGATTAAAAAAATATTTCAAAATGGGTTTTTTGGTTAAAAATAACAAATCTGCAGCTGAGAGGTGGTTGGAGAAAATGTAAAATGAAGGAAAAGGGGAATTTTCTGACAAAAACAAGCCCAGGGATTGATGACTTCATTTTCTGTGCTAAAAAGCATGGAAATATGTACAAAATCCAGGAAATTTGGGGATTTTGCATGGAAAACAGGGGTTTGACTTACCACAGAAAGGAAGGAGCAGCCACCGGATCCCACCTTGTGCCATCCCTGCGAAAAACACCAAAAATCAAGAAAAACTGTAATTTTATGAGAAAAATCCATGTGAACCCTGGGGTGTCTCCAGAAGCCTCAAATTAACTCCCAAATTACCCCAAAATGTCTTTTAATACCCCAAAATGCCTTTTTTTCACCTCACAAAAATCTCTTGGGGCTTATTTTGGCCTCCACTGCCTCTAAATCCACCTGAAACATTCCAAACTCAAAATTTTGTCCAAAATTCCCCAGGTTTGGATCAAAATGGTTTTTCTTCCCAAATTCTCCCATTTTGGGTCAAAATACTATTTCCCCCAATGCCCTCCCTTTTGGTCAAAATGGAATTAAACAGAGATAAAACATCTCTCCCCCTCATCCTCCTCCCACCTTGAGGCCAGAGTCTCCATCTAAATCAGAGTCACACCAAATATAGATGAATTTTAACTAAAATCACCTAGATTCATGTCAAAATGGGGTTAAAATGCTGACACAGCCCTCCCACCAAACCCTGCCCTTGATGCCATCTCAATACCCCATTTCCACCAAATCCACACTAAAATTTCATGGAAAGGATGAATTTCCCCCCAACTCCTCCCAGTTTCAATCAAAATGGGTATTTTATGGCCCAACATCCCCCAAATTCAGATCAAAATGGAGCTCAACATCCAGAAAACACTTCACTCACCTGGTCCCACACAAACCCTCCCAAACGTGCAATCTGGCCTCAAAAAGGGGAAGAAAAAACCCACCAAATTTTAGGCACGATGAGGGAAAAAAAAAATCTGAAATTTGGGAGAAAAGTGAACAAGAATGGAAAAATCCAGAGATTTAGGGAGAAATGGGCAAAAAATTTTAAAACTTGGGAAGCAAAGAGTTTAAAACCTTAAATTTTGGAAGAAAAAGGATTAATATTATGAAACTTTTGGGGAAAACGAGGCAAAGTCATAAAACTGGGGAAGGGAAAGGGTAAAAATAATCTGAAAATTTGGCAGAAAAAATCCTCAATTTCTGCTCATCACCAAACAATAAGGAAAGCCAGATATAAACAGGGAAAGAAGCCTCTCCACTCTTCCCCACTCTCCCCCACTCAGCGGCCCCTTGGCTCTTGAATTCCTGGATCCCTGCAGACACAGAGTGTTTGTCCCAAAGTCACTCCTTCTAGACCCAAATAAAAAATACCCAAGCGCTCCCAGAATCACTGTCCCCATGGTACCCTCTGGCTCCATGACACCAGGGGAAGGACAGACCAAGTCCAAATGTCTTTTACCCAAAATTAATGACCCAAGTCCCAGCAAGGAATTCCAAGGAATGGGAAATTCTGGCCCAAATGACTAAAAAGCTGAATAAAACCAGCTGGAGCCAGGACAGACTATGGCAAACAGGAAATGAAAGGGCTTTTGTCTTAAAATGAAGACAGAAAAATGGGGAAACCCTGAACCCCACAGACATCCTCAAAACTGTCCAGAGACAGGAGACCTCACCCCCAGAGCCATCCAGGGACCCCCAAAACCCCATGAGGTTCCTCCAAAACTACGCAGGGATCCCTTCAGCTCTCTGAACCTCCCAAACCACAAGGTCCCTAAGGGGAGATGGGGGGCCCTGGGAGGGTTTTGGGGCTCCTGATAAATGACACAGAGAAGAGGCATTTTCAACTGCCCTGAAGGCGCTGGATGGAGCCTAAAGACTAACTGGCAAAAAACCTGAAAGGATGTAAAGGTATGCTTAGAGGATCACAAGCATAGAGCCACTGGACAAATAGGTAATGAGGAATATAGTGGAGTTTTTGTCAAGTTACATAACAAGTAACAGTGCATGCTCAAGGAAAAAAGGTTCAAGGAATGGTAACCTGCAATATGGAAACATTCTGGGAATATGACCACCAGAGACCTGTTCACAGTCCCTCCAGGACCATACCCTGTGGTAAAGTTTCACCGCACACATCAGATTAAAGGAGAAATCCTTCAGCATGTCCTGGGCAGATAAACACCTGCTTTCTAACGCTTGACATTGTGTTAGAAAGTGTACTTGACATCCATTTGGTATCATTCCCTTGGACAGGCTTATAGATCTAAGGGGAGCTGAGAGAGTCCTGTTGGGATTTGGGGGTCCCTGGGAGGGTTTGGAGTTTCTAGGGGAGATTTGGGAGGTCCATGGGAGAGATTGGGGGGGGGGGGGGTCTCTGTCAGTGAGATCCCAGCTCTCTGCCACTTTAACCACCCCGAGGGCTTCCCAAACCACATGGGGACCCCCTCGACCTCCTGGACGCCCAGAACCACACTAACCTCTCTCCACCCCAAACCTCTCTGGGACCCTCACACCCACCCCAGTGACCCCAGAACCCCCCGGCATCTCTCAGCTGCCCCAGACCCGCAATCCCCTTCAGGGATCTCCACTGATACCCCAGGGCCTCCCCCACTGCCTCCAGAGTCCCCAGAGCCCTCCGGGAACCCCCCGAGCCCTCCCTCGGCCCCTCCGGGAACCCCCCGAGCCCTCCCTCGGCCCCTCCGGGAACCCCCGAGCCCTCCCTCGGCCCCTCCGGGAACCCCCCGAGCCCTCCCTCGGCCCCTCCGGGAACCCCCCGAGCCCTCCCTCGGCCCCTCCGGGAACCCCCCGAGCCCTTCCTCGGCCCCTCAGGGACCCCCCGAGCCCTCCCTCGGCCCCTCCGGGAACCCCCCGAGCCCTCCCTCGGACCCTCCGGGAACCCCCCGAGCCCTCCCTCGGCCCCTCCGGGACCCCTCCGGGAACCCCCCGAGCCCTCCCTCGGACCCCTCCGGGAACCCCCCGAGCCCTCCCTCAGACCCCTCCGGGAACCCCCCGAGCCCTCCCTCAGACCCCTCCGGGAACCCCCCGAGCCCTCCCTCGGCCCCTCCGGGAACCCCCCGAGCCCTCCCTCGGCCCCTCAGGGAACCCCCCGAGCCCTCCCTCGGCCCCTCCCTCCCTCCCGCGCCGCGCTCGCGCCGCCGCTTCCCGCCTTCTCCTGCTCCTGCCTCCCATTGGCCACAGCGCCCGCCCGTCCCCGCCCTTAACCAATCAGCGCCCGAGCTCGGAGCGCTGGGGCGAAACCAAACGAAAGCGCGAGCGATGGAGCAGGTGAGGCCTGAGGGGTCCAGAGAGGACCGAGGGGGGAATTCGGAGGATCCCGGGGGGGAATTTGGGGGGCCCCGCGTCACTTCCCTCATACCTCCCGCAGAGGCTCAGCCTGGAGCAGCGAACGGAGCGTCTGGTGCAAAGGAGGTAAGAGAACACCCCGGCTTCAAGTGCCCTTCGGGATCCCCAAGTGCCCCCGGAGGCCCCAGTCTGCTCCCCCGTTCCCTCAGAGTTGTCCCAGACACCAAGTGCTCCCCAGACTCCTAAGTGCCTGCCAATTCCCTCCCTTGCCCCAGTGTTCTCCGAGAGCCCCTCAGAGACCCCCAACTACCCCAGCCGATGTCAGGTGATGCCCCGGACCCCCCATTCTGCCCATCAGTGCGTCCCGCAGCCCCTCAAATTCCTCCTGAGACCATCAGCGCTGCAGGGTCAGTGCCGGGTCAGCGTTCCGGGGGTCCTCGCCCCTCCCCAACGCTCTCCTCCCCCACAGCCAGGCCCAGCTCAGAGCCCGCCGCCCCGGCGCAGAGAGGACGAAGCCTCTGCTCGACTCCGCCCCCTGCAGCTCCGCCCTCCATGACCCGCTCGTCCAATGGCGCTCGAGGCGGTGCCGGGGGGAGGAGCCCGCAGTGGACACGCCCCTGGCGGGCAGGGCCCTGCTGGGCTCCCTGCAGGGATTGGATCGGGGCGGGTCACGTGACCCCACCGGGGCCATGCAGGCGGCTGCGCCCGGGCGGCCACGTGACCCAGCTGAAGCCCCCTGGCCAATCAGGAGACACTTCCGCAAGCACCAGGGGCTGCCTTCAGCCCGGGCTGTCTGCCAGGAACCCTTCTGGCAGGATCCCTGCTGGCGGCCACGGGACTCCCACCAGGCCCTCGGGCCAGTGAGGAGCACCTCTCCGGACACCCTGCGGGAGGCACGATGCTCACAGCCACATGACTCCCACCACGCCCCGGGGCAAAGCAGCAGCAGCTGCTGCGCACCTCTGCACCAGGGGGCGCCACCCTGTGGGAAGCGAGAGTCCCATCAGCCTTTGCTGCAGGAGCCACTTTGGGGGTCACATGACTGCCTCGGGGCTCTGTGGTGTGCGCCACATTGGGAGTCACGTGACTCCCAGGATGCCCTGCGGCCTCCAAGGGAGGAGCCCCTGTGCCGGGGAGGGCGGGGCCTGAGGTCACGTGGTCCCCGTGAGGCCCCGCCCTCAGTCAGGAGCAGCGCACGTGGTGCCCCGCAGGGGGCGCCATGGCAGCAGCCACGGGGTGAGGGGCCAGAGGGGCCGCTCAAGGGTCATGGGGGGTCACTTGTGGGTCATGGGGTCACTTGTGGGTCATGGGATCACTTCTGGGTCATGGGATCATTTCTGGGTCATGGGGGTCACTTGTGGGTCATGGGAGTCACTTGTCGGTCATGGGGTCACTTGTATGTCATGGGGGTCACTTCTGGGTCATGGGATCACTTCTTGGCCATGGGAGTCACTTGTGGGTCATGGGGGTGACTTGTGGGTCATGGGAGTCACTTGTGGGTCATGGGATCACTTCTGGGTCATGGGGGTCACTTGTGGGTCATGGGATCACTTCTGGGTCATGGGGGTCACTTCTGGGTCATGAGAGTCACTTGTGGGTCATGGGAGTCACTTCTGGTCATGGGGGTCACTTCTGGGTCATGGGAGTCACTGGTGGGTCATGGGGGTCACTTGTGGGTCATGGGGGGTCACTTCTGGGTCATGGGAGTCACTTCTGGGCCATGGGGGTCACTTGTGGGTCATGGGATCACTTGTGGGTCATGGGACTCACTTGTATGTCATGAGGGTCACTTGTGGATCATGGGGGTCACTTGTGGGTCATGGGATCACTTCTGGGGCATGGGGGTCACTTGTGTGTCATGGGGTCACTTGTGGGTCATGGGGTCACGTGTGGGTCATGGGGTCACGTGTGGGTCATGGGATCACTTCTGGGTCATGGGATCATTTCTGGGTCATGGGGGTCACTTGTGGGTCATGGGGGTCACGTGTGGGTCATGGGATCACTTCTGGGTCATGGGAGTCACTTGTGGGTCATGGGGTCACGTGTGGGTCATGGGATCACTTCTGGGTCATGGGAGTCACTTCTCGGCCATGGGGGTCACTTGTGGGTCATGGGGGTCACTTGTGGGTCATGGGATCACTTGTGGGTCATGGGAGTCACTTGTGGGTCATGGGGGTGACTTGTGGGTCATGGGGTCACTTCTGGGTCATGGGGTCACTTCTGGGTCATGGTATCACTTCTGGGTCATGGGAGTCACTTGTGTGTCATGGGGTCACTTCTGGGTCATGGGGTCACTTCTGGGTCATGGTATCACTTCTGGGTCATGGGGTCACTTGTGTGTCATGGGGGTCGCCTGTGGGTCATGGGGTCACTTCTGGGTCATGGGGGTCACTTGTGTGTCATGGGGGTCCCTTGTGGACTTGTGGGTCATAAGAGTCACTTGTGTGTCATGGGATCACTTCTGGGTCATGGGAGTCACTTGTGGGTCATAGGAGTCACTTGCGGGTCATGGGATCACTTCTGGGTCATGGGAATCACTTGTGTGTCATGGGAGTCACTTGTGTGTCATGGGGGTCACTTGTGGGTCATGGGATCACTTCTGGGTCATGGGGGTCACTTGCGGGTCATGGGAGTCACTTGTGGGTCATGGGGTCACTTCTGGGTCATGGGAGTCACTTCTCGGCCATGGGGGTCACTTGTGGGTCATGGGAGTCACTTGTGGGCATGGGTGTCACTTGTGGGTCATGGGATCACTTGTGGGTCATGGGGTGACTTGTGGGTCATGGGATCACTTCTGGGTCATGGGAGTCACTTCTCTGCCATGGGGGTCACTTGTGGGTCATGGGAGTCACTTGGTGTCACTTGTGGGTCATGGGATCACTTGTGGGTCATGGGGGTCACTTGTGGGTCATGGGAGTCACTTGTATGTCATGGGGGTCGCCTGTGGGTCATGGGGTCACTTCTGGGTCATGGGATCACTTGTGGGTCATGGGAGTCACTTCTCGGCCATGGGGGTCACTTGTGGGTCATGGGAGTCACTTGTGGGTCATGGGTGTCACTTGTGGGTCATGGGGTCACTTGTGGGTCATGGGAGTCACTTGTGGGTCATGGGGGTCACTTCTGGGTCATGGGAGTCACTTGTGGGTCATGGGATCCCTTGTGGGTCATGGGAGTGACTTGTGGGTCATGGGGGTCACTTCTGGGTCATGGGGGTCACTTCTGGGTCATGGGAGTCACTTGTGTGTCATGGGATCACTTGTGGGTCATGGGATCACTTGTGGGTCATGGGGATCACTTCAAGGCTGGGGGTTGATTGAGTGTCATGAGGCGCCTTTGTGGGGCTGGGGGCATTTGTGGGTCAGAGGGGTCACTGGTGGGCCTGGATGCACCTTTTGGGCCAGGGGCTAGCGGTGCCCTTGTGGGCTCAGGTGGCCATTTGTGGGCCAGGGGTGGTCACTTGTGAGGCGAGGGAGGCAGCTGTGGGCCAGGGGTCACTTGAGGGGCTGAAGGGGCACTTTTGGATTGGGGAGATACTTCTGGAAGTCCCTTGTGAGGCTGAGGGAACACTTGTGGGACTGCCACCCCCTGTGACATGCAGCTCCCCCAGGCCCTCTTGAGGACCCCATCCTCTGGATGCTGCGATGCCACCGCCGGAACATAAGGGAACGCCTTCGGTAGGATATCCCCACCCCCAAATTTCAGGGGTCTGCCCCTGCACCTACCCTGGGTTCCCCTAACTCCCCATTTGCTCTCCCTTCCTCCCCCAGGGCCATTGAGACACTCCTGGAATGCCCACCTGGGCACCCCCAACGCATGGTGGGGCCAATAAAGCAATGACACCCCAAAATTGCACTGGGGAGGTGGGGAGACCCCCAAAACCCCCTCCCTTACCTCCCCCGCCTCTGAGATTGCCCGCAGTTCCCTCTCCCCCTAAACGTCCCCAAGAGTATTTGGGAGATTCTGGGGGCTCAAAATAGGTTGTTGTTGGGGTATTGGGTGTCTCTAGGGGGTCTGTGAGGGTCTGTGGGGTGTTTGGAGGGGCTCTGAAGCTGCGGAAGGGATTTGGGGGGTGTTTGGGGAGCGCTGGAAATCGGGAGCGGTTGGGAGGGCACTGCGTGTCTATAGGGCGTCTAGAAGAGGTCTGTGGGATTTTTGGGGGAGCCTCTACAAGTGCTGGGGAAAATCTGAAAGATATTGGGGTCCAGGAAGGGGTTTGGCGGGACCCTTGGGCTTTGGGGGGGTCTTTAACGGTCCGGGAGTCCGTGGGATATTTTGGGGGGCCCAGGACAGCGCTGGGGGGTCTGTGGGGACCAGGAAGCGTATAGGGGCGTCTGGGGGTTTATTTGGCGTAACGGGGCGGAGACCCCCCAAGCCCGTGGGAACGGGGCTCCCCTGTCTTCTTCACCTTCCCGCGGCCGACGTGGCGCCGGGGGGTTCTGGTGCACTCCCGGCCCCGAGGGCGCTGCGGGGGCCCGGGGCCGTCAGCGGCTCCCCCCGGGGCCGTCAGCGGCTCCCCCCGGGCTCCCGCACGGCCCCGTGCGCCCCCGCTGGGCCCGCGCCGCTTTGCTCGCCTCCCGGACTACAACTCCCGACAGGCCGTGCGGCCCGCGCCGCTTTGCTCGCCTCCCGGACTACAACTCCCGACAGGCCGCGCGGCCCGCGCCGCTTTGCTCGCCTCCCGGACTACAACTCCCGACAGGCCGCGCGGCCCCGGGGGCGCTGCTGGGCCGGGACTGCGGTTCCCGTCGTGCCCCGCGGCCCCTGAGAGTCCCCTCAGAGCCGGGCCTGGCCCCGCGGCGCCGACCCGGCTGCTCCCCAAGCGTTTCCCCGAGCCGTAAGTCTGTAAGTGCCCCTCCGGGGCCCCGTAAGTACCCCCGGTGTCCCTCTCCTGACCCTCAAGTGCCCCTCAGGGTCCCTAAGTCCGCCCGGCCCCCGTCCCCTACTTGCCCCCAAAATGCCCCCTTTGTGTACCCTCGGACTCCCAAGTGCTTTCCAACTGCCTCCCCGACCCCTAAGTGCCCCTCCAGACCCTCTAATGATCCCGCAAGCACTCGCAACTGGATTCCAAGCGCCCTTCGAGTGTCTCCCAGGAACTGGCGTGATGACGACGATGTAGAGAAAGACCCTGACCCTATCGCAGTATCAGCAACAGTTCAGCCTTTAATTGAATTCGAATCAAAATTGCAATTGCCGATGCGGGGGACGGACAAGCCCCCCCACTTTTTCGTGCCACTCCCGTGGTCCCTCTTGGAGCCAGGGAAATTGCAGGAAAAGCATTCCTGCATGATGTGCACATCAAAAATTTCATGGGAATTGGGAACAAAGTCTGTGTGGTGAGCTTCCCGGAGAGGTGGACATAAATCCTGTCAGATGAAGAAGAGGTTGAGAGGACTTTGGGGACCTCGAGTATACTCTTCTGTAGGCCCCCCCACCCCAAAACCCCCGAGGCCCCTTCATCCCCTACAGACTCCCCAGTAGATCCCAAATACCCTTAGAATGCCCTCAAAATGCTCCACAGCTTCCCCCCCCCAGACACCCTATAAACCCTCAGGGACCCTCCCAAACCTCCCTCTAAAACCTCCTGAGGCTCTCTAAAATAACCCATAGATCTGCCCAAACCCCTGGCATTCCCCTGCACCCCCCAAAAGGGGCTACCCCAGGTGGCCACAACTAGTCATGGACTGCCTGAGCCACTTTTTCAGCTGATATGGATGTAGGTACAAATCTAACAGAAATATAAAATATAATATAGAAAGGGGCCTCCAGGAGAGCTGGGCAGGGTCTTTGTCTGGGGACGGGATGGAGGCTGAGGGTTTTCACCTGCCAGAGGGCAGGGTTAGATGGGATACTGGGAAGAAATTCCTCCCTGTGAGGGTGGTGAGACCCTGGCACAGGCTGTCCAGAGAAGCTGCAGCTGCTCCATCTCTGGAAGTGTCCAAGGCCAGGTTGGACAGGGCTTGGAGCAACCTGCGATAGTGGAAGATGCCCCTGCCATGGGCTGGATCGAGATGACCTTTGAAGTCCCTTCCAACCCAAACCAGCCTGGGATTCTAAAAGTGGGGGAGGTTTGGGGTGGGTGACCTTGCCTGACCCCAGGTGCTCCATCACTCCAGCTTCAGGAAAAGACAGCAAGAGAAAACCTGATGAAAATGCTCCTGGAGGAGATGGGGTGGGGGGATGTGAGTCCCTCAGGAGCTGCTCCGGGTCCCTTTCCATGGGCTGAGTCCCTCAGGTGGAGGCACTTGGGGCATGATTCCTACCCAACAGGCATCCCAATGGGGGAGAAGACAGGTTCAGCCCCTTGATCCAGCCTGTCCTGATCCCTCTGCAGAGCCTTTCTGCCCTCCAGCAGATCCACACTCCCACAGAAGTTGGTGTCACTTGTGAACTTAGTTTGACTTCCACTTGATCCCCTCATCAGTAAATATGTTAAACAGGACTGGACCCAGCACTGACTCCTGGGGTCACCCACACGTAATTTGGTGTTATGGATGGAGTGGGAGCTTCAGACAAGCCCTGTCTTTGGCTAAGATTTTTGTGTACAGCTTGAATTAGGTGGCCCGCACCTAAACCACTCTGGCTTACAAGAGTGGCAGATCAGGTCTATTATAAAATGAGTTATTGATTGAATAGACAGGAGATAATAGACATAAGGTCTTGAACAGAGTTACCTACTAAGCAGTATAAAAATAACTACTAGTAGATTACATAAAACAGTGCACAACATTAAGGTACCTATATCAAAGCTAGGAAAGAAATAGTATAGATTAGGAGTCAATGTAACTTACCACCAAACTGGCAAGAGTGTGCACAGAGTCCTTTCATTCAACCCTTGAGAGAGGAACCACAAAACCAGCATCCCGACTTTGGGGGAAATGCCCCACACATTTCCAGGGAATGTGCAGAAGACTTCTACTTTGTACAAGTTTGGTGTAGCTTTAATAGATTGTGAAGTGTGTGTCAGAAATTCCAGCTTCTCTTTCCACAATCTTGCTTCCACAGCAAGATGTTTATTGTCAGCTAGAGGTGTCACTTCCATGGCACCCAAATAACCACGAGACAAGCGGTCTTTAGTGATTTATTTCACCAGTTAGCAACCTCTTGAGGCAGGGAACATGTCCTGCTACACTGGCCCTAGCTGGATTTAGTTCCATTCCCCTCCACTCTCTGGGCTTGAGCATCAGCCAGTTTTTCATCCAGCAAACAGTTCCCCTGTCCAGTCCATGTGCAGCCAGCTTCTCCAGTGCCAAAGGCTTTACTGATGTCTATAAATACACGTCCACCACCCTTCCCTCATCTGCTGACTGGGTCATTCTGTCACTGAAGGACCTGCCTTTCCCAAACATGCACTGTCTGGGCCTGATCCCCTGGTTGTCCTGCACATGCTGTAGGATAGCACTCAGGATGATCTGCTCCATGGCCTTCCCCAGTACAGGGGTCAGGCTGACACGGTTCATGGAAAGACACTAAAACTCTAAAAGACAAAGTGAGTTATAAAGTAGGTATGTATTTTTTTTTTGGTCGGATGCGTGCGGGATACTTCCGCAAAGGCATGCACATCTCCGTGTTCTCAGCGTTCTTTTTCATCCTCTAAAATGTTACATATACATTAGATTTTGCAATACATTTATGCATATTCATTTCCTGGCTCCACCTTGTCCCACTTTGTATGCTAATTAACTCATCAGTCCCTTGCACCTGTGTACTTGTCTCTGGTGGTTGTCTTGGGGGATGAAGTAAGTAGTCGTCATCAAAGTTGACATTCTCACCCTGTCTTCTTGTGCATGCTTACTGATCCAGTTTGGGCTTCAGAGGAGCCTTGTTGTCCTGGTAGTCTTGTAACTTTGTTCTGTTTTGATGAACATCATCCTTCCCTTATCACACATCCTTGCTTTCTTTTGTGTTGCTCTTGCATGTACACTGTTGTCTTCCCTTTAGAGGTAGTTAGCACAGTAAAAAGCAGCAAATATGAAGCAATATATATAATCTAAATATCTATGTCTAATCAATATCCCTCTAATTCCTAACCCCATGTCTCAGACAGGTCTGAAGCTCCCTGAATCCTCCTTCCAGTCCTTCTCATAGAAGGATAGCACATTTGCTGATTTTGAGTCAACAGGAACTCTTTCAGTTTACCAGAGCTTACCAGTTTGGCTTTGGCCTTTCTAACTTTCTTGCTATATCACCTCCCAACATCCTTGTAATCCCCTAAGTTTTCTGCCTCTCCTTCCAGAGGTGACACATGTTTTTTTTTTTTTTTGCCCTGAGTTCCTGCCTAAGGGTTCGGGTTAGGGTTAGGCCTCTCTTTAATGAGGCCAGTCATTTTCCCACACTGGCTTGTCTTATGGCACATGGGCACAGCTCCTGCAGCTTTAAAATTTCCTTTTTAAAGAATCTCCAGCTCTCCTGGATTCCTTTTCCCTTCAGGACTGACTCCCAAGGGACTCTGTCAATGGATCTCCTAGAAAGGACAAAATGTGCCCTCCAGCAATCCAAGGGGGCAGTTCTGTTGCCCCGTCCTTTCTATCCCCACAGTGGAAAACTGTCATTTTGTGGTTGCTTTGTCCAAGACACTCCCAAATACCACATCACACACCACTGATGGAATAACAGAATCAGAGAATGGTATGGGTTGGAAAGGACCTTAAAGGGCCTCTACTTCCAACCCTCCTGCCATGGCCAGGGACAGATTCCAGTAGTGGAAGTTGCTGCAAGCCCTGCCCAAACTGGCCTTGGACACATCCAGCAACGGGGCAGCAACAGCTTCTCTGGGCAACATGTGCCAGGAGCTCACTGCCCTCACAGGGAAGATTTTCTTCTAGAAGCTGATCTAAAACTGCTCTTTATCAGAGGAGAGCCATTCTCCCACGTCCTGTCACTCCAGGTCCAGCACCGAGACCCATGGCTGACACCAGTCCTGGGGCAGCTCCATGGAGATCCTCCACTGCTACAAGTGGTTGCCGTGGGCATGAGCTGAGGCCTGTAGCAGATCCTGCTGCCTTGGCAACCACTTGCTATCTCCTTCCGAGATAGCTCAGTTACCACAGCATTGTCAATGGACCTGCTCCTAAATTTTGTCTTGGCCCAAGAAAAAATTTGGACCAAGTCTTGGCCCAGCTGTGATCCTGGACTGCTGTGTGTTGGAGATTGAAATATTATTGTTTATGACTTAAACATCCTCATGAAGAACTTTTGCCTATTATAGTAAAACTGTTTTGCAAAAGCTGCAGAGAAGACCACCACACCCTGAATGGGGCCCTGACTGAGGGCCTGCACTGCTCGATGATAAAGATAAGAGAAAGTAACGACTCAAGGCTGAGGACATTCACAGCGCCCAAGCCTAATACCTTCTTAGTGGAGACCGAAGCCCTGGGGCCATCAGCTGCCAGACTCCAATAGACCCTCCCAACAAAGGGTGGTGGGAAGAGACCTTGGCTTACCCCAGATGCTCCCCCCTCCCCCCCCCCCAGGCTGCTCCATCACTCCAGCTTCAGGAAAAGACAGCAAGAGAAAACCTGATGAAAATGCTCCTGGAGGAGATGGGGTGGGGGGATGTGAGTCCCTCGGGAGCTGCTCCGGGTCCCTTTCCATGGGCCGAGTCCCTCAGGTGGAGGCATTTCGGACGCAGAGGCAACACCTACCTCACTGTAGTCTTCTCCAGTGCTGCAGGGGAGTCTCTGCTCTGCGGCACCTCCTTACCTGGGGTGCTGCTCAAGGAGGAAGGACAACAGCAGTGAAAGGGACTTTTTTGCACCAAAATAAAATTAAACTGTGAATGTTATTTTTCTCAAGGATTTTAAGATTTGTAAATCCCATGTTCTGAAATGATCTGAGGTGTAGCAGGCAAGACCTAGAGAGTTTAGAGATAAAAGCAGCATTTTTATATGTTTTTTATGAAAAATAAAATATTTTTCACTCAGACATGGCAGGTTCTACCTGCTGCTGCAGGGTTTGGGTAGGGAATTTTGGGACATCCAGCAGATCCCGACACCTCATTTTTCCTGAAGTGAGGATTCTGAAATGGCAAAGGAAAAGGATCAGGACAGTTTAGAAGCTGAGGAAAACTACCCGAAATGTGGTTGCTGAGGCTCTTGCCTGTGTTTTGGACAGTGAAAGAATAGTTGGGGTTGGAAGGGCCTCTGGAGATCAACCAAGAAAATGTCCTGGTCTGGTGCAATCTCCTCACCTCAGAATGTTTGGGGTTTGGGAGGTTGTTGTAAGTTGACTGAATATTAACACTTAGTGTAACCACTGAAGATATAGACAAGCCTCTGAGAACACAGGGCGTTAAAAGCAGAGAACTCCCAGGGAAACGCTCTCCCCACAGGCTGGGTAGGGGAGGGGAAGTCATGCAGCCCAGGCTGAGGTAGGCCAGGGGCCCCAGACAGAGAAGGGGGGTGAAAGGAATAAAACCGGGCCAGCCCCTGCAAAACAGATGGGTGGAGAAACACTGAGATGTCCTGGGCAGCCCCCGCAGGGAGAGAAAAAAAGAGAGAAAGCCTCTGTCACCTTAAAATTTAGTATCATGTGCTGGCAGTACACTGGCAGAGGAAAAAGAGGAGGTGGAGGATGGGGGCAAGGTGCCCAGTGCTGGGAGTCCTGGGCAGCCTGCTGTAAGATTTCAGCCATCCTGTGGGGCAGCAGAGCCCGAGACTTTAACCCTTTCTTAGACAAAGGAGACTTTATGAAACAGAATCCTCCTTTATCTGAAGGAGGAAGAGAGACAGCCTAGAGTCTAAGATGTCAGAAAAAGATGAGAAAAAAATCTTAAGTGAAAAGAGATGATAAAGTAGCCTTCAGCTGAACTCTTTCTTGTACAGCCATAGACTAAACCAATTTTCCTGTAACACGAAGATTACATTTAGAGAGATTCAATAGTTTAAGCCAAGAGAGTCACCTGCTGCAGTAATTGCCAGTGCAAGAGTGAGAGTGACCTGCTGAAGTAACACCATATGCAAGACTGAAGTAAACAGAGAAAGATGAAGAAAATGTAGTAGTGCCCCCGGTCTTCAGGGAAGAAGATCTCTGTTCTCAAAACCCTTGGCCCCAGGGGAGCAGAAAATAGGGAGGACTGTTGTCCTAAAATAAGAAAATGTTGGTTTTTAGTACTTAGCAAAGCATCCTTTAAAAGGATCCTGTAAACAGTGTTATTCCATAAACAGTAGTGAGAGCACTGTACATAGAAAGAAGATGTCACAATAGCAATCTTTTTTGGGCGGTGCCATGTGTGACATAGAAACATAAAAGGCTTCAATTGTATTTCCTGTAGAAAACTATAGTACAAGAGAGACTCCTCTCTCCCTTAATGAACTGAGAATTATCTGAAGTAGTAGTAAATTAATTGAGAATCCAAAGTTTTGTTTCACTGTACTTTAGTAGAAATTAGGTGGGAGGAGGAGGAATGTTTTAGAAAGTTTTCATTCTGAATTTTGTGTGTTCCCTTTTGTTACGGTATAAGTTAATAAAGCTTTTTTCTTTATTTCTAAACTTAAACCAGCTCTACTCTATTTCTAGTCACATCTCACAACAGCCATTTAAGAAAAATATATTTTCATAGGTGCACTAACACTCCGCCAGCATCAACCCATGACAGAGGTGAAACCCAATGTGTGTCCCTGATGGAGTTTTCTCCAGGTTTGAGTTGGAAGGAAACAGAACTGTAAGTGTTGCATTGCTCTCAGCTGGTTTTTGTGTCTCTAAGCCCTGCGGAATGTGGCAGGACAGGTGAGGTTCCTCCCTGCCCATCTCTCCCACCTTCTGAGTCCTTCTGAAGAGCTGCCAAGGGAGCCCAGACCCACTTCACTCCCCTCATCCATCCAAGAACTGTGCCGTCATGGAAGGCAATTAGATCAGTTCTGTGGTGTAATTTTATGGAGTCCAGTGGGGAACCTTCTTCCTGCCTTCCTCCTGGTCTATCTCATGCGCCTCTTCCTGCTTTATTCTCTGTTGCTCTGTCCTACTCCCTGTGCTGTGAGTGTCAGGAGGGGGTGGGAAGGAAGATGGCAGGAAACAAAGTCCACTCACCCCAATGTTCATGTGCCAACCGAGAGCTTTTATTTCCCATGCCCTTGCTTAAAGCCAGGGACCGCAGAAAACAGGAAAGCTGGACAGGACAGAAGGCACATCCAACCAATACGATTAATGCAACGTTCTCAGTTTAATAGAGAGAAGATGGCAGTTTATATACACTTCTATATAGTTTGCAGTTTACAAAGGCACTCTGGCAAGCTAACATTGTTTACCTTTGCCTTAAGGTGGTCAGGCTTTTCACACTGTAGCTCTATTCTAATTCACACTCAGATAGGTCATTACTTTGTAGTTACCTTAACATAATTTCTAACTGCGCCACAACTATTTCTTACTGCGTCAAAGGCTTCTAGGCCCCATCAAGGCCGCTTATCAGGGGCCTAGTCTGAGCGGGTAGCTCAATTCTCACTCCAGACATAAATCATGCCCTATCTCTCTCAGAAATTCTGTAACACTTGCTTATATAGGGCATTTGAGAATCTCGGTCTGGATACTTTCATATGTCAGAACTCTACACCCTTCAGGTCCTGGCCAGGGAAATGCCTGCAGCCTCGGGAGAGATGTGACTGGGTGAGGCCCCTGTCAGTCGAACCAGGGGCTGGTTGGTTTGCCTATCACAAACCCGCTAATATACGGTAACGCTGTGCCGTCATTCATCCCTGTGCCATCTCTCCTCTCTGTATCCCTCTGTCCTGGTCCCTGTGCTGTCACTCCTCCCTGTAACTGGCAGAATTTTCTTTCCCCCAGTTGTCCATATGCCATCATCACTTGTGAGTTGCTCCTGCTTTCACAGAATCACAAAATCAGTTTGGTTGGAAGGGACCAGTGGGTCAACTGGTCCAGCCTTCCTGCTCAGGCAGGCTCATCCTGGGGTACATAGCACACGATTGTGTCCAGACCTACAGTCCCCTGTAGATCCAGATGAGGTTCAGTGTACAAAAAGCATGTGGTGGAAGTTCCTACTGAGGAGCCATCACCATATCCAAACTAATTGGCAGTGATGTCATGGAAAGGAGAACAAAGACTGGATAATATGGTTACCAGACTCTGGCAAGATGAAGAAAGTGTCTTTTTCACTCTATGGGCCTGCATCTTATCTGTGGAAAAGACCTCCAGTAACTGAAAGAAGTGCTCCATGCCCCCCTAGCACAGACCAAAGTGCCCCCTGCTCAAGAGAGAGGGGCACACCACAAGGCAACCTGTGGTTTCACCTGCCTGACCATGGTGAAGACATAAAGAAATGGGATGGAAAACCCACCTCTGCCTTGGCAGCACAGGTATATGAGTTGAAAGGAAAAATGAATCACCACAGAAAACTCTTCAAGGAAAAATGCCACTCAGTTTCCACTGGGAAAGTCCTCAGGCAGAATTGAAGGGCTGATGTTGCTACTGACCCTCTGGAAGGGACCTCCAGCTCATATTTATACAAGAAGTGAGCAACAAGTACCGTGATCAGAGTTAGAGGGGCCCTGGCTCCAGTCAGGTGTGGGAAAAGGACAGTGGGATCTGTTGGACTGTATGGATCCATGGCCTGGCACAGCAGAGCCACAGGAGCACAAGGCTTTAGTTGACATGGGTGGACAATGTACCCTGATGCCATCATGCAGGGGCAGAATCCATCTCTGTTTCTGGGATAACAGGGGGATCCCAACAGGGACTATACTGGAGGCTGAAGTGCTCCTGACTGGGCATGAGTGGCAGAAAAACGCCGTTGTTGCTGGCCTAGAGGCTCTGTGTATCCTTGGCATAGATCACCTCAGGAGAGGTATTTCAAAGACCCGAAAAGACACCGCTGGGGTTTGGGAGAGCTGCTGTGGAGAAAGAAGAAATGCAGACAGCTGAATCCCCTGCTTGGTCTTTCAGAGGACCCTTCTGCTGTGGGACTGCTGAGGGAAGAAGAACAGCAGGTACTGATGGCCAGCACAACAGTGTCCCATTGACAACATGGCACCAAATGGAACTTTAGGATGCTGTCCATGAACTGATCCATGAACTGGAGAGCTGAGTGTGCTCAGCAAAACTCGATCACCCGTCAATAGCCCCATTGGCCCCTGCCTGAGTCCCATGGAGAGTGGACACTGACAGTGGACTGTCATGGCCTGAATGAAGTCCCACCATCACTGAGTGCTGCCATGCTGGACGTGTTGGAACTTCAGTATGAGCTGGAGTCCAAGGCAGCAAAGTGGTGCTGCCAATAGACATTGCCAATGCATTCTTCTCCGTTCCTCTGTCAGCAGATTCCCAGAACTGGCGTCTCTCTTTGGGCCCTCAGCCCTGAAGCTGTCCCAAACAGTGCCTTGGCCTCCCTGTGGCCCCCTGCCCACACAGGTTGGCTTGGTGACCATCTTGCTCTGTGCCACCAGATGCTCCAGAGGGGCCCTCTGGGTCCCTGCTGAGGGGGGAGCAGGAGCTGATGATGGAGCTCTGTGCTCAGTCACATGGCGGGGATGTCCCACTTACAGGGGAGTCTCAGTCTTATGGGGAGGGGGTTTTCCAGTCCAACGATGGGTGCCCCGGTCTCATGGGAGGAGGGGTGTATATCCCAATCCCATGGGGAAAGTCTCAGTTCCAGGATGGTAAATCAGTTACATGTGAGTGTGTCTCGAGGCCATTAACTGGGGGGCGGGGGGGAGGGGGGGGGCAGAGCTCAATCTCATACATAGGGGTCAAAATCCCTGGGTGGGGACTCATTCCATGAAGGGTTATAATGTCCTCTGTCCCACTGGCAGGTTCCCAGAAATTAAGTAGAGGAAGGATGCTCTTGCCCTGTCCTGTTTGCCACAGTGTTGGGGTCCCCCCTGTATTCAAGGTCTTTCCCCTCTCTATTTGTTGTCTCCCAGAGGAACACAATGCCACTAGAGTGATGTCCCAGCTGGCCAGGAAGAGTCCAGGGACCTCCTGCCACAGGGCACAGACATAGGGGTATGGGCGATAGGGTGGGAACATGGGAGACACATGGGGAAGACTGGGGACACACGGGAGACATGAGGACATTCTGGGATATGTGGGGGGACAGGGGGGACGTGAGGGACACATGAGGGACCCTGGAGACGTGTGTACGTGAGGGGGGCAGATGGGGACACAGCATGGCAGTGAGGGTACTGTGTCCATGGGGAAGGGCAGTGTTAGAAATGATGCAACTCCTAAAATTTTTAAATAACTTTAGTCAGGGGTCTTTGCCCAGGGGGAAGGGAACAGAAGTTTCTTTTCAAGAGACTCTGTTCCCCGGGCAAGGCCTGATGAGCTTGACATCTCAATGGACTGGGACTTGCCAGAGGATGCTCAAGAAAGGAGTGACCTTCTGCATCTAAACATCCTTAATGGTGTGTCAGAGACATTTGATCTGAGAAAAGATCAATAAGAGAATGAAGAATGACGACCTAATGAGCGCTGAAGGCAAAGGGATCAATAACCAATCGGAAACCAGATACAAAGAACTGTGTGACTTGTGGCAAATGAACGTTGAACCAGTGAATTTTTCTGGGTTTTGACTGTGTAAGTATGTGAAAAATCTAGTAAAGAACCATGTGTGATGGAATAGTTTTCTCTGCACAACACAGGCAATGTGGGGATGAAATTATCTCTGTTGCACATTCTGGCCAGAGCAACATCCTGGCCAGAATAAAGTAATGCTTTAATTCTCTTAAACTAGAAATGTTGTTGGACAGTTTTTGTTTTTCCTGCAGTTTTGGTCACAGCAGGAGAGTGCCTTCATGTCCTTCCATATCCCCTGTCATGGTTTGACACTGGCACATTGCCAGCCTCCCCATGAAAATACAACCCCCAAATGATTTGCTGTGAGATACGATCAGGAACAGAGCAGAGCAGGCCCAAGCTTAATAACAAAGGAGAAACTTTATTAAACTACTACTACTATAAAAGGAAAAAGAAAGGAAAAAAGTAAATCCAAAAAAAAATTAAAACCTTCCAAAAACATTCCTCCTCCCTCCCCCAGTTCCAACAAACCACAGTGAGACACAACTTGGACCCCCAGTCAGGTTCCCACCCTTCCGATAATCAATACTCAGTCCATCGAGGGACAGAGGAGTCTCTCCTGTGCCATAGACCCCCCAAGAAACACAACTGCTACTTCTTGTGTTTCCATGTCACACATGGCACCGCCCAGTGAAAAAAATTGCCACCGGTAACAACTCCTTTCCATGCACAGCACCCTCACCACCGTACATGGATGGACAGACTGCTCATAGGATAGGGTTTTCTTTTCAAGGATGCTTTGCCAAGGACCAAAGAAAAACAACAGTTCAGTTTCTCATTTTTGGGACCACAGTCCCCCCCATTTTCTTCCTCCCCTGGGGCCGAGGGTCTCAAGAACAGAGATCATCTTTCTGAAGACAGAGGACATCACCACACCCTCCTCAACTCTTCTCTGTTCACTCCACTCTGGTGTTGGTAGTCACTGAAACAGGTCTCTTGGCTCACCAGACATCCCCCTAAAATACAATCTCTCTTGGAGAAGAGAATTGGTTCAGTCTATGGTTAACAAGAAAAAGTCCAGCCAAAAGCCACTCCATCATCTCCTCCCACCTAGAATTTCACCTAACATCTTGGATCCCAGACTGTCTCTCTTCTTCTCTTTCAAATCAAGGAGGAGTAATATTTCACAAAGCTTCATTTCTCAAGGAAGGGTTAAAAGTCTCAGATTCCCCGGACACCTGGCTCTCTGCCCGGATCTCCGGCTCCCATGGCTGGGCACCTTCTTTCGCCCCCCAGCTCTTCTCCTTCCCCGCGGTGTACTGCTGACTGACACCGTCGCTGTCTCTTTCTCTCTCTCTCCAGAGAGACTCTGGGGGGGAACACAGACATCCCAGATTTTCCTCCACCCTTCCATCTGAAGGGGGCCCGCCTGTTTCCAGTCCCTCCACCCTTCGGCCTTACCTCAGTCAGGCCACAGGACTTCCCCTGTCCCACCCAGCCACGGGCCGGGCAGGGGAGAGTCTGCACTGCACCCTGACCAGAACCAAGAAAAGCAAGTTCCCCTGGGAATTCTTCTTTTAACCCCTTTGTGTTCTCAGAGGCGCGTCCAGCCTTCAGTTGATCAGCCCAAGTACCAATATCCAACCCCAATCACTGACTGGCTTGACCCTCTTCCTTCCAAGAAAATTCCATTCCGTGTCAAACCACAACATCCCCCCACATCACCTGAATGTCCTTTTTTCCTCAGATGGATTTTATGGACAGCTGCAACCCTCAACTGACACCCACTGGCCACAGGGAAGCACCAGGAGCGACTGGGGCCATGCTGGGAGCAATGGGGATCACAACTGGGCTAACTGGGATCATACAGGGAACAAATGCTGGAGAGTGACAGGGAGAAAGGAGATTCATTCTGGGGGTAAATAGGAGCAATTGGGACCACACTGGGGTCATACTGTTATCATAGTGGGAGTGACTAGGATCATACAGGGAATGACCGGTACCATACTGAAGGTGACTGGGAGCCACTGAGACCAGGGCCAGAAGGATCCAGCAAACTTCAGGCCTTGTTGTTGGAACATCCCTGGAAGAGATTCCCTGAGGGGAACAAATGGCACAGACATGAAACAGGCATTGGAAACAGCCAGGGGTTGGGAAAGACAGGTATTGCCTAACTCACCTGGTCTGTTGCTGTGCCCAGGTGGCCCCAGTGGGTGTTGGACATGTGTGGGTGTGTCTGCCTGAAGCTCAGCAAAGCCTTTGGCACTGCCTCCATCTCCCTGCCTCCCCTGGAACACCTGCAGCTCGCAGCTGGGACAGGTGCCTCTCGCTGGGAACACCTGGCTGGTGGCCAAGGAGGGGTGGGAATGGGGCCACAGCCAGCTGGGGCTGGGCACTGCTGGGGCTCCTTAGGGCTCAGTGTTGGGGCCGGTCCTGTTCAACATCTGGCCCGGGTGGACAACTAGGGGCAACTGGGAGGCCCACTGGGAAGACTGTGGGTAAACTGGGAGATCTTGCAATACCCTCAAGAGACCCCAAAGCCCACCTGGGCCACTATGGGTTCACTAATGCCCCAATCTTCTTCTCCCAATGGGTTTCGTGAACAGTTGTTATCCCTGACTGACCCCCACTGGGTACTGGGAGGCACAGGAAACTACTGGGACCATGTTGGGAGCCAACTGAAAACACACTGGGAGCAAATGGAAGATGCTGGAACCATGCTGGGGGTACTGGGACCAGAACTGGGGCAACTAGGATCATGCAGGAGGGGACAGCTTGGGACCATGCTGGGTTCGTACTGGGAGCGACTGGAACCACACTGGGGGCAACCGGGATCATACTGGGAGTAACTGGAATCATAGTGGGATCATTCTAGTACAGACAGGAATTGACTGGGACCATTGGAGGTGTGACAGGGATCATACTGGGAGTAGTTGTTGTGAAAAATGCAGATTTTATGATTGGCTTTTCGCAAATGTTACAATGACTATTATATGTGTAATGTTAGAAAGTTATGCTGTATTAATTCGCTTAAGTAGTGTGTTAAAGGTAGTTTTAGGTTACAACATAAAGTTAAAATAGAAACTCTGCAGTGTAGGATTTTTTTACTAGCTCAAGCAAGAGATGAGATAATCAAGAAACTCTTTGCACAGAGATGACAGTGACTTGGGGCCCATAAAGAATTACTGCCTCCTTATCAGAAAAGACAAACTTTCTTCCACCTTCTCTCCGTCTTTATGGAACCACCAGGATTAAGGGGAAGAAGCTGACAAAAACCAGAAAAGTTCTTAATTTTCAGGGAATTTATGCATCATGTATGAGATATATGAATATGCAACAGGTTATGCTTTTACGGTTATTCTTTTGTTCACAAGCTATGCTTTTCGAGACTTAGTGTCTAAGAGCATCCGGACATGTCCGTAATTCTTTGCTTTTTATTGTCTTGTAATTGTCCTAACTCTGAATTATATTACTCTAATTGTATTACTATTATTATAACAATTTTATTATTATTAAACTTTTAAAATTTTAAAAGCCAAATGATTGGCATTTTTCACAGTTGTGATCATACTGGACTCACACTGGGAGTGATTGGAAAGCCCTAGAATCACGTTGCAGGGGACTGCAATCCTACTGGGATCCTTCTGGGAGTAACTGGAGCCACGCAGCTGACCGGGAGCAGCGGGAACCACAGTGGGAGTGACGGGGATCACACTGGGAGTGACGGGGATCCCACGGGGAGTGACGGGGATCACACTGGGAGTGACGGGGATCACACTGGGAGTGACGGGGATCCCACGGGGAGTGACGGGGATCACACTGGGAGTGACGGGGATCACACTGGGAGTGACGGGGATCACACTGGGAGTGACGGGGATCACACGGGGAGTGACGGGGATCACACTGGGAGTGACGGGGATCCCACGGGGACGGTGACAGAGATCAGCGGGAGCCCCGAGGCGCGGGGTGCGGGCCGGGCTCATGCAAATTTATGCTAATGACCCCGGCCGCGGCGGCGCCATCGAGCCGCGGAGTGCGGCGGCGCAGAGCGCGGGAGGAAGTGACGTCACGAGCAGCGCCGCGGCGGCGGGAGATTTGAACAGGGCAGCGGCAGCGGCGGGAGGTTTGAACAGGGCAGGGGGAGGTTTGAGCAGGGCAGGGGGAGGTTTGAGCAGGGCAGGGGGAGGTTTGAACAGGGCAGGGGGAGGTTTGAACAGGTTTGAGCAGGGCAGGGGGAGGTTTGAGCAGGGCAGGGGGAGGTTTGAACAGGGCAGGGGGAGGTTTGAACAGGGCAGGGGGAGGTTTGAGCAGGGCAGGGGGAGGTTTGAGCAGGGCAGAGGGAGGTTTGAACAGGGCAGGGGGAGGTTTGAACAGGTTTGAGCAGGGCAGGGGGAGGTTTGAACAGGTTTGAGCAGAGCAGGGGGAGGTTTGAGCAGGGCAGGGGGAGGTTTGAACAGGGCAGGGGGAGGTTTGAACAGGGCAGGGGGAGGTTAGAACAGGGCAGGGGAAGGTTGAACAGGGCAGGGGGAGGTTTGAACAGGTTTGAGCAGGGCAGGGGGAGGTTTGAGCAGGGCAGGGGGAGGTTTGAGCAGGGCAGGGGGAGGTTTGAACAGGTTTGAGCAGGGCAGGGGGAGGTTTGAGCAGGGCAGGGGGAGGTTTGAACAGGTTTGAACAGGGCAGGGGGAGGTTTGAACAGGGCAGGGGGAGGTTTGAGCAGGGCAGGGGGAGGTTTGAACAGGGCAGGGGGAGGTTTGAGCAGGGCAGGGGGAGGTTTGAACAGGGCAGGGGGAGGTTTGAGCAGGGCAGGGGGAGGTTTGAACAGGGCAGGTGGAGGTTTGAACAGGTTTGAACAGGGCGGCAGCGGCCGATCCCGCGCGTAATGTCACTGGCAGTGAGAGGCAGGGGGAGCTTGGGGGGACCCGAGAGTGGCACCAGACACCTCAGTCCGCCCTTACTCCCCCTTCCCCGGCCGTCAGGTCTCCTCCAGCCCTGCCGGACGCCTGGACTCGCCCTGACCCTGCGGCGGACTCGGCCACGCCATGCCGCGCCCCAAACCCACCCCCCGGCGGCGTGGCGCTCCCCCAGCCCCCCCATCGCCCCAGCCGCGGGCACGCAGTGAGTGAGGGGCGGGGGACTCCCCTTACAGACACCCCCTATGGACCTCCCACATCGAGCCCCTTTTAGACCCCCTCCAGAGCACTGCTATGGACTCCCCCATTGTTGTCCTCCATCCCTGTGCCCTAGATACCCCATATGCTTCCATCACTATAGTCACTCCACACTCCCTCTCCCCTATAGCTCTCTATTGCGTGTAAACCAAGACTCCTGAACAAATGACCAGTATGACCAAGCAGAAGCCGTATATTCTTTACATTGCACACACTTTTATAGATTCTACAAACTACTAAGATCACACTTATTGATTGGTGCCTTTGTCTTGTTCCCTCATTCTCTGCCTCCACTTCTCAGCTTCCATTATTTGTTACCATGCAGGTGTTCTACAGTTCTCTGTCATCTAGTTCTTGTGATCCTGCAGTTTCTCAGCTTCTTCATTCTTATTTTAGCACAGTTTATGTCTTAGTAACCTTGATGAATTCCTGAGAAAATTCTGGTAAGAACAGTTACAAGTGGTATGGCTGGTGCACACTGAGGCCCAAGTTGTTCAGCTACATTGCTACAACCCCCTACACCCTGTTCCTCAAAACCCCTCATACTCCCTGTTCCCTATAACTCCCCTATATTGGCCGTCACTGTAGGTCTCTATAGATCCCTCACACCTGCAATGTCCCCCCAGACCTTACAGATCCCTTATAACCCCCACAGCTTTCCCCTGTCCCCCGGGCCCCTATAGCCCCCCCATAGAGCCCCCTGTGTTCTGCCAGGCCCTATGGATCTCTTATACCCCCCATGTTCCTTCAGAGCCCCCCATCTGTGCTCCCCAGGCCAAACAGATCTGCTGAAGCCCCCACAGACCCCTGTCCACTGCCTCTGCAGGGCGCCGCCCAGGCCAGCGGGCATTGCAGGAGATCCGCAAGTACCAGAGCAGCACCCGCCTGCTGCTGCGCCCCGGCCCCTTCGCCCGCCTGGTAAGGACCCCCCACATCCCAAAATGAACACTCCTGCGCCGTAAAATCCCCAGACACTCCAATTTCCCCCACGGAACCTTTCCAGCGCCCCCCATGGACTCCCAAACTCCCCTGAGACTGCACAGATCATCTCAGATACCCAAAAAAATCTACTTTAGGACCCCTAAACCCCTCCAGGACGCTCCCAATTTCACCTAGAACCTCCAACATTGTCGGGTATCTTCCAAACCACTCTGGATCCCCTCTTCTGGGATCCCCAAATCCATCCCAGAACACCCCAGATCAATACTTTCAGACCCTGCAACCTCCTCCAGAGCCTTTAAATCCACTCTGAGACCCTTCAGCTCCCCACAAGATTCTCCCAAATACCCACTGGGACCCTTCAAACAATCCACTGGACCCCTTAAAATCCAACCCCAAATCCACCCTAGGCCCCCTGAAATCCAACCTGGAACCCTCCAACCTCCACTTGACCCCCTCCCTAAAACCCATTGGGACCCTCCAACCCCCTACAGACCAACCAAGTTACCCCCCAGAACCCCAGATCACCCCCTGGGACTCCTCAGGACCACCCCCTTTCCCCAGGGCCCCCACTCAACCCTGTTCCAGCCTTCCCCATGTCCTTGTCCTCCCCGTCCTCATGACATAGTGGGCCTGTCCTCTCCCAACATCCTTGCATATCCCCCAATGTCCTTCTGTGGTTCCAGGCATCTTTGTGTCCTGCCACCTTCATGGATTGAGTGTTCCCTGCGCCCCTCCCACCGTGCTGGCACTGTCCCTCCTGTCCCATCAGGGTGTCCCCAGGGGAGTGTCCACATGTTCCCATGGCTGAGGGTGTTCCCAAGATGTTCCTAGAGTGGTGCTTGCCCCTTGCCTCCCACCTGGGATCTCTGCAGGGTGTCCCCATCATGGTGTTCCCACATCCACACTCCCCAGTGTATCCTCAGGTGTTCCTGTCCCCTGTGTTCCTGTCCCTGGGGTGTCCCCAAAGTGTCTCCAGGGTGACAACAAGGGTGTCCCCTGGTCCCTGGGATGTCCCCAGGGCAGCGTCTCCGTGTCTCCAGGGTGTCACCATGGTGGTGGCCCCAGCCCGGGATGTCCCCAATGCCCCCATATCCCCTCCATGTTGTCCCAGTGTCCCCACACTCCCTGTGACCCCAATGCTGCCATGTGGGCCCCTCCCTGTGCCCTCTCTGCCGCAGGTGCGGGAGATCTGCCTACTCTTCACCCGCGGGGTGGATTACCGCTGGCAGCGCATGGCTCTGCTGGCGCTGCAGGAGGTAGGGCTTGGAGGGCTCAGGAGTGGTGGGGGCGTTCACAGAGGGGCTGGAGGGGTCCTATGGGTCCTCCTGGGGTATCCAGGGAACATGGGGGGTGGGGAGGGGGCTGAAGGGGATCTCATGGGTTCTGAGAAGGGACATGGGGACTGGGGGAGGGGGGCTCTGTGGCTGCTGCAGGGGGGCTCTGTGGGTGCTGGGGGTGTCTCTGGGGGGCTGGGGAGGTCCAGAAAGGTCTCTTTTGGTGCTTGGATGAGGCTGAGAGGTTTGTTAGGTGTGTGTGATGGGAGCTGAGGGGGAGTCTAGGAGAGTCTCCATGGGCTGGGGGGTGGTCTATGGGTTCTTGGACAGGGTTCCATGGATATTGAGACGGCCTCTGAGAGACCTCTGGGTGGTGGGGGTGGTCTCTTATTCCCGAGGTCTGTTGGGGACTGGGGATGGGTCACTGGGTGTTGGTCTCCCCTCATACATTTACAGGCACAGGGTGTTTCAGTCCCCCCAGTCACCCGTGGGAGGGTTTGGAGGAACCCTGCCCCCTGGGTGTGTGTTTGGAGGGGGGGGTCTCTGCCTGGGGGAAGAGCTGTGGGGGTTGGAGCATGCTGGGGGGCTTTGGGGGCACGCCCTCAGCTTTTAGGACACAGGCGGCAGAGGCCTTCATCGTGCGGATGCTGGAAGACGCGTACCTTTGCTCGCTGCACGCCCGCCGAGTCACCCTGTTCCCCAAGGATCTGCAGCTGGCCCGGCGCCTGCGAGGAGCCGAGGGCGGGGGCATCTGAATGGCGACCCCCCTGAGCCCCTGCACAGACTCAAACCCCCAGACCCCTGTCCCAGGACCCCCACCCTGAGGCTCACTCCTGACAATCTCACACCCCTAATTTTACTGGGACCTCCTACGGTACCAGCATGCTGAGACACCCCACCACGGGGTCCCCCAAAGCTGGGGCCCTATCCTGACATGCCCAATCTGATTTAGGATCCACTTCCCCAAGACCCCCCATATGGACCCACCTCATAGACTCCCCCCTACTGGATCCCCACCTCAGGATCCCCAACAACCCTCTCAGGGACCCATCCCAGGGTGGAGGTCCCTTTCCTTAGTCCAGCACCCATGACATTATTGAGGAGCCCTACCCATGATCCCCCTGGAACCCCCCTCACCAGATGCACCCCAATAAGTTAATAAATGTTTGTGACCCCTAGGTGCTGTTGCTGGGGAGAATGAAGGGGATTTGAGGATGAGGCATCTCAGGGGGGAAATCTAGAGGGGAGGAGAACCCACAGGGAGGGGATTCTGAGAGTATTTTGTGTTTGGGCACCTGGGATGGGGGCCAGGAAGGTCTTGGGGCATAAGGGGTTCCATGTATAGTGGTGGTGGGGGCGCCTTAGGGGATTTGCTTGTTGAGCAGGGGCTCAGGGCTTTAGGGGTGGTGCTTAGAGGGGGTTTGAAAGTGGGTAGGGCTGCCTGTGGGAGGTGGGACTTAGTTCCTCTGTGAGGGTGGGGCTCTGGAGGTTCCCCATCCATGGGCGGAGCTCTGGGGTCGGGCTTCAGCGGGATCCCCTCCATGGGGCAGGGCTTGGGGGGCACACCCGGGGGGGGGGGCGGCGCCGCCCCGGCAGGTTGTGCCGCACCTGGGGGTGCAGGAGGGACCCAGAACGGACCCACTCAACCCCAATCCTGCCCTGGGACCCCAGCTCCTCCCTTCCTCATGCCTTGGAGACCCCCCCCTCCGAACCTCAGAACCCAAAACCTACCCTGGGACCCCAAATCCCCTCAAACCTGCCCATCCCTGCCATCCTTGGGGTACTCTCTGAGCCCCCCAAACCTCAGGGACCCCAAATATCCTCCCTAAAACCCAGCCCAGACCCCACCCACCTGGTTTGGAATACCTCCAGTTTTGAGGTCCTGTCAACCCTCTTTTTTCCCCAGACAGGCTGGTGCTGAGCTTGGTGGGGAATATTTTTGTTACTGAACTTTCAAGGAAAGTTGACAACTCAAATTGTGGACAGAACAGAAAATTGATTTGACTAAAACCCACTCTCTAATGACCCTATCTGATAATGAGGAAATCACATTACACCCCCAAATTAAAGATGAAACCTATGATAGTCAGGGTCAGCACACTTTTACTAAAACAGTGTGGTACACAGCAGCCAAGATAGCAAAGTTCCAGGAAAAGTGTAGCAGACTTACAAGGTAATTGGAAACTGGATATGTTTGGAGAGGGTCTCTGGCAGGGGCTGATTGAATCATTTGAAGCAGAGGCCCAGGGCTTCTGGAGGCCAGAAGTATTTCTAATGGTGGTGACCAGAGGAAACTGTGGTCTTTAACTCAGATTGCCGCCTATTGAGCAGGAGGTTGGATCCATTAGAGAGGAGTGATTTGCTTAGGATTGAGATCCCAACCATAGATCATGGACAGAGTGTACCAAAGGCAGCGTTTTTACAACTGATGAATGACAGATGTTCCAGGAGAGCCCTCACCTACCTCACTGGTTATCCAAGTATGTGGCTCCCATGGTTGGAGTTTTGCTGGACAAAACACTGCGGCAGAATTTCAGGATCACTTGACGCAAGTGTTTACACCACAGAGAGGAAGACAAGGGAAAAGAGCCTTAACATGGGGATAGGGATCTTCAGGGCTAATTAGCTATGGCAGAAGGATGGGTTTCACTGAACAATAAGTAAACAGAACAACAATCAGGAAATTGGAATCGCAGCAAGGAAGTGGACTGCCCAAAAGGGAGCAGTAGGGTCCCAGTTCATGATGGAATGCAGTGTGAGCAAAAGGCTTGCAGGAAGGAATTTCTCGGGAAGTGATAAATTATCCACTGCTATTCTGGAGAATGTAGTGCCTGGAATGTAGTGGGGAAAAGGAAAGTTGCACTCACTTGTCACAAGAAGGATAAAGATGTTGATGTAGGAGTTGGAACTCCTGAGAGACCTATAATTACTATGGCCCCACAGGCTAATGTTGTTAATTGGAGTCTTAGAAACAACATTTAATAGCCTCAGTGAGTTGGGGGCTGGCGGCTGCAAACATTTAAGGAAGCTTACCAAAAATAAGACTTACACAGAAAATGAGGTATCAAAGTCACTACTGGCCTCTGAGATGGGGACAGGAGAAAAACTGAGAATTCAAGAGGATAAACTTATGACTAAGAAAGATCATCTTAGGACCCTACTTGCTGCAGCAGAGTGTAAGGAAAAACAATTATTTGAGAATTTGAATAGGGGAAAGTATAGAAGAGAGAAACAAGACCTGAGAGAGGAAACCTGATTTATCCCTGTTGGCTGAGAATTGAACAGTTGCATAAACAGTTCCAGGAAGAAAAGGAGAAAAGATGAAAACTGAAAGAAAGGCAAAGGTGATGCTTAAACAAGCTACCAATTCACCCTGTATTGTGCAGAGTCCATTCAGGTGGCTGATTTGCAAAGCATTCCAGGCACAAGCCAAGTGAGACTGAAATGTAACAAGTGGAACCTATGAATACATTCGTACTGACTCATACATCCAGATTCACGCTGATTCTTGTCAATGATTAATTACATTTCTAATAGATACAGGAGAACAGCATTCAGCACTAACAAAGCAGGATGCCAAGAAGCTGGATGAATGACCCAGATGCCAAGAGTTAAAATCACTTTAGTAAATGGTGCAAATGTTATCTGCCAAGGTGCTAAGATTAATTTATGGGTCCTGGATGAGAAGTGGATATTGGCAACTTGCTCTGCAATCGAGGATCACAATGACAATTGTTCTAGATTGCAAGGCAAGAGGTAGTCAATTGTCATGTGTTAGAGGTGTGGCAGTTATCTTCTTTTAATTAGGCCATTTTTCTTTATCTCCTCCACAAACCAATCCTCTCTGCTGGGGAGACATCAGCTGATAATGGGCTATTGAATGTCACTGCATGACTGATAAAGTTGCAGCATCCCATTGTAAGATGCTCTGCCCAGAGGGAGGAGCCAAGCATTTCTACCTGGATATAATCTAGAGTTTATGGAACACCAGCACAGCTTTTTCTGCACTGGATTTCCCAGAGGAACAGCTGCCTCTTCCACTGCATCTTCAGAGGAAGAACCATTTCTACAGGATCATTGCTCCAACAAAACCACACCTGACACTCCATGAAGACTGCAGCCATAATTCCCATTGGACTGCTGTCAACACCCTGACTAACAGGGTGTCATGTTTTATTCTGACTCTGTCAGTGCTGTTTTAGTTTACTGCATTGTTTCTTTTTTTATTTTCTTAATAGAGAACTGTTATTCCTGCTCCCATATTTTTGCCTAAGAATGCCCCTTAATTTCAAATTTATAACAATTTGGAGGAAGGGGGTCTACAAGTCTCTTTTTTTCCATTTCAAGAGAGGCTTCTGCCTTCCTTAGCAGACACCTGTCTTTCCAAACCAAGACAACAATATTTAGGGTTTTGATGTTCTGCACCATCAAATATGTTGTCTGCCTGATGGCAATGAGTCAATGTTTGAATATTAGCCCAAACTCTAAAAGGAGTCCAGAGACTGTGCTGACTCCATGTGGCACCTGTACCCAGTGATCCAAGGACTGCTAGTGTGTCCCCAAGTGCGGATGGCCTTAGACAGCTTCCCCAGGGTGCCCGCGGCACCTAGGGCATCTCCGCTTCGGCCTGTGTTGGCAACTCCCGCAGCCCACCAGACTCCCAAGTCCAGATGGTGTAATAAAAGCCTCACCAGAACGAGAGGGCTCTTGGTACAATCCAGCAGGGTTTATTAGGGAGAAATCCGAGGGTCCAGGTAGGGCAGGAGTGGGCAGAATCCAAGGAGGCAGGGTAGAATCAGGAACACAACTTCTGCTGAAGGGAATCTGGCAAAGAGCCAGGACCAGGGGAGGGTTAGGGTATATCACTGAGGGAAGGTGGAAAGGGTCAGGATACAAATCATTCAATGGAGAGAGGAGTCAGGAGAGGAGTTGGAGTGGGGTGACTTGACCTGTACCCATAGGGAAGGAAGGAGGGAGTGGTTTTCCAGGGAGGACTAATGGGGGAACAGGAGATACAGTATTTTCTAGAACTGGGGAGTGAACACCTGGTGACTGACAACTATACATGTGCCTGAAAAAGCAAGGTATCATGGCAAGTTGCACCAGTCTCTATGTTAAATGATGGTGTTTTCCCATGGCATCCTAGCCCTGTCTTCCCCAAGGCCATCTCCCACACCCGTGCTGGATTTTTGCTGTAGGGAGAAGTGGAATTTCTGAAGTTCTGGCCAATTTGGCCCCACTAACAGTTGAAGTACCTGTCACTGTTGAGGCAGGACGGGAATGAGAAGACTGACTCAGAAGGCTGCTGAGAGTAAAACTCCGATTTATTCAAAATACACTGCTCTTTTATACAGAGCTTCGTGAGGACCAATTTTATTGGTCCTGAAGTTAAAAAAATCCACACCATTGGTGCAAAGTGCTTGACACACAGTGATAGAACTTAACTATAAACAATGTGAATAACAAGAGAGATAAAAAATTATTTACATTCTTTTCCAACTCTTTCCCAGGCTTCTGCTTGGCTAGAAACTCTCCATTTCTCTCTTTGACTGAATCTGAGACCCACAAGTACCCAATACTGCAAACCTAACAGCCACAATATAAGCACCTGTGTGCTTGGGCATTGATGGGGTGGTGACAGATTAAGAAAAGAAAGGAACTCAGTCACACTCCTATCTCTCCTGTCTGAGATAGTGGCCAGTGATCATTTTAACACACTTCAGTCTCATCAAACTTGCCAGTATAGGACAATGTTTGCTGTTGGCATTGCCATTATGTCACAGATCACAGAATATTCTGAGTTGAAAGGGGCCCACAAAGATCATCAACTCCAACTGTTAAGTGAATGGACCATACACAGATTGAACCAACAACTGTGGTGTTATGAGCACTATGTTCTGACCAACTGAGCCAGTCTTAGGGTCTGGCTCATGAAAGAACAGACAGTTGTGGCTTACGGTTTATTACAGGCAGTTGAATGCCAGTACCACATCTACAATGACTGCTGTACTAAATTTTGCAGAACTGATAGCTCAAATTAGAGCACCCTACCTATGGAGGACAACTCAAATTGCAGGAGACTCCCCTGAAAACATGGAAAGCAGCAGCAGCAGCAGTGGGCAAGCACTTCATAAAGTAGAAGTTGAGATTCCTCCTGAAGAATGCCAAGGCCTAACACCATGAAAGACCAAAGAAATATTCACTATTCAACTCAACTACATTTAAAGAGATGGAACAGAGAGATACTGAGTGGGAAAAAGGAATTTTTTCATTATTCTAAGTGATTAAACAACTTGAGCCACTAAGGGGTAACCTGTCCAGGCTAACGCTGCTGAGACTCATACTGTTTTTTCTATCCAGGAATGGTATCAGTAACAATTCCAGCATACCCTCACTGAGGATCAGCTTAACCATCGAAGGACAGTTTATCCTTATTGCAGGAGCAATCACTGCCAGCAGGAAGCAAATTTGGTTCACACATTAACAAGTTCAACCCACAGGGTAGAGTTGCTTCTTTTATTTAAGCTAACAACTATGGTAACTTAGTACATGCATTCTACATCACACATGCTTTTCAGTTGTTAAGTGCAATTAATTGAATATAACCAGGGATTTTACCCATTACCCAAATCAGGTAACACTACCAGTATTATGTCCAAGGACTGCTCCTACCAAAAAGGTGCCACGATAGAGAGGTCTTGGCTGGCGTTCCCTGGCTCCCCTGTGCAGCCTCTCATCAACACCACAAACACTGGGGCTACACGCTTTCCTTCCTATGGAAAAAACCTCTCATTCTCATCCAGAAGCCCATTATTCAACTGTGGATACCACCTCCAATATTATATATGCCCAAAGATAACTCTCATACAAAAGCTGCCAGATCAGAAAGCTTTCACTGATCTCTACCCGCCTAGGGCAGCCTGTAATCTGCACCTAAACCACTGGGCCTACATGCTTTCCTTCCCATGGTAAAGCACTCTCATTTTATTTCACAAACTCTGTCCATTGGAGGTAAAGACCAGCAAGATCTGTCTGTCCACATTTTGTGTGGGAGCAATCCTTGGATGTTTTCAGTACTGAAGGTGGTATCCAAATTTCAGTGGACGAGCTCTTTAAAGATGATTGAAACACTTTTACAGGGGAAGGAAAATACTTAGACCTAGGGTTCAAAGTGCAGATTACATGCTGCCCTGGGCAGATAGAATCCAGCAACTATTTTCTGACCTGACACATATTGTGTGGGAGCAATCCTTGGATTGCTTTTGCTTTTGGCTTGTTAGTTAGTTTAGCTGGGCAGTCTGAATTTTCCCCTGGACTGTTTTTCTTTCCCTTTTCTTGGAACCATTCAAACCTGCTCTGGACTGGGACCTGGAAAACACTGAGAGTTTGCACTTTGTGGCCTGCAGCAGCCATTCTCAGCACCGGAGGGACTGATAACAGAGCGACCACTCCCAGGAGAGACTGTCTGGATTTGTCATCTCTTCAGAGCGGTGAAAGAGTTTTGTCATCTAGTGTTATTCATTTTTTTTAGCTGGGGAGTGCTTTGCCTTTTAAATAAACAGTTTTCTTTCCACTTCTCTCCGAGGAAATTCTTCCCGAACCAGGAGGGGGGAGAGGCTGAGGGGGTTTGCTTTCTCGGGGCTCCTTCTGGAGGTTTTCTCCCAAAATTTGCCCTAAACCAGGACATGCGACCAACCCAAATCCAAACCACAAACCCAAACCGCAAGCCACAACTCCCAAACTTGAAATGTAAACCATAAACTCCAAACCCCAAACCCAGTGCCCCACACCACAAATCCCAAACCTCAAACTCCAAGGGTCCCCACCAGTGATGATGCTGGGGCTGATGTCAAAGGTGTTGTTGCTGGGGTTGATGTCCACCCTGCGGAAGAAGCGCTGGCACAGCCGGAGCCTGGTGCCACCCTCAGTGCCACCATAGGCATAGTGGCCCAGGGTCCCATTGGGTACTACAGGAACAGAGACACCAAGGGACAGGGACACCAAGGCTGGAGGTGGCCCTGGGGTACCTTGGTGGCCCCAAACCACCCCATGGCCCCAAAACATCGCCATGGCCCCAAAACATCGCCATGACCCCAAAACATCTCAGTGTTCCAGAAACATCTCCATGTCCCCAGGTGTAGGTGTGGTGGCCAAAGGTCTCATGGAGGACAGCCAGGTACTGTGGGGACAGGGACAGGAGCACTGTGGGTGGCACCTTGATGGCTCCAAATAACCCCCATGTTCCCAAACTTTTCCTGGTGTCTGCAACCTTCCTGATGTCTCTCAACCCTCCCCTGATGTCCACAACCCCTTCCGGTGTCCCTGTGCCACCTTCTTGAGGGCATAGACTAGGTGCTCCAGGAGATCCCGATGTCCCCAGTTCCTCCTGGTGTCCCCAGCCACCCCAGTGTCCCTGTGCCACTTTCTCAAGGGCTTAGGGCACATGCTCCAGGAGGACCCACAATGTTCCCCACCCCTCCCAATGTGCCCAGCCCCTCCAGTGTCCCCATACCACCTTCCTGAGGACAAAGGCCAGGTGCTTCAGGAAGTCCCCACGGGTGTAGATGGCCTGGGTGTCATTGGTGCCATCTTTGTAGCCCTTGGGGAACAGGTGCTTGAAGGCCACTGTGTTGTCCTCCTTGAAAGCCACCACCAGCTGGTTGCTGAGCCTGAACAGGATCAGCTGGGGACAAAGGCCACCATCTCTGTCACCACCCATCCCTTCAGGGTGACACTGGTGTGTTTTGTCCCAAAATGGTGTCACAGCTTGGGGACAAAGGACACCACCCCTGTCAGCCTCTGTACCACCCCGGTGACGCTGCCATGTTTCACTCCAAAACAGTGTCACTCCATGCTTGGGGACAAAGACCTGTGCTCCTTACCCACCAGAGTGACGCTGCCATGCTTTGTCTCAGGACACTTGAGCATTCTTTTCAAAATGTCCCCATGTCCCTGTGGCTCCTGCCCGCTGTCCCCGGCACCTCTTCTCCAATGTCCCCATATTCCCACCCGTGTCCCAGCCCCCTATGCCCAGTGTCCCCGGTATCCCCATGTCCCTGTGCTCCCTCCCTGGTATCCTAGCCCCTCCATGCCCCACCTGCCATCCCTACTGTCCCTGCTGTCCCAGCCCACTGTCCCTATGTCCCTCTGCACCCTTGCCAGTGTCTCAGGCCCCCATGCTGCTGTCCCTGCATGCCATCCCTGCTGTGCCAGCCCGCTGTCCCCGGCAGTGTCACCTACACGGTGACGAGGACGATCTTGGTGTGCTTCAGCATGAACTTGGCGGGCCGCCTTCCGTGGGTGTTGCAGTGCGTGGCGTGTGGGACGGCTGTGGCAGGGGCACGACCCTGCAAACTCTGCAATTCCCAGTTATCGGCAGCTCCGGCACAGGGACAGATAGCAAAGACAGGGTCTTGGAGTAGAACAAGATGGATTTATTCCTGAGCTCCCAGACAAGATTGGGGGAGGGGTGAACACAAGTTTTTATACAGCAGCTCAGGAGGAGGGGTGCAGGAAAGTGAACCAATGAGGATATGGCAAGAGAGGAGTACAGGGTGAGGCAAATAGCTTATGAGCGTATTAGAGAAAAAGGAGTGGGGGGGAATAATACGAAGTAACAAATGGGGTGTCGAGGGCAACAAGACAGACACAGAACTCTCTGGAGAAAGGGACAGGGAGGATTAACAGCTTGGAAGGGAGGAGGTTAGGGAAGGGCTTGAGAAAATTGGTAACTGGGAAAGTGAGGGGATTAGGGAGAACAGTGGGCAAACATGGATTCAAAGCACCACAACATGCGGGCCCGCTACTTGTCACAGGGGTTCATGAGGAATTACTTGAGGCGGCGCCGCAGCTCCTCCTCTGCTACTGGCACCGGCGCTGGAGCCGCCTCGGCCGTGCTGTACCCGGTGCCGTGGCTCGGGAGCCACTCGGTCTCTAGGAACACCCGCCGGTGTCACCTCGCTCCGGTGTCCCCCGCTGGTCCGTTTCCCGGCTGCTCGGTGTCACCCCCGTGTCCCGGGATCATCCCCGTCCCGGTGTCACCCTGTTCGGTGTCGGCCCGCAGTCGGTGTCCCACTCGGTCCAGTGTTATTCCTCTGTTCCGCCGTCCCCGCTGCCCAGTTCAGCGTCCCTGTCCACGTTAAACCCCCGGTCAGGACTCCCTGTCCCCGCTGCCCAGTTCAGCGTCCCTGTCCACGTTAAACCCCCGGTCAGGACTCCCTGTCCCCGGCGTCCCCCCGACCCTGTTCTGCTGTCCCGCCTGCTCACCGCGCAGGCGCACAGCGCCCCCTGCAGCCATTAACATCCCCGGCCGGTCCCCGGTGTCCCCTCGCCCCAGTGTCGCGCCTATCCCCAGCCCCCCTCGCCCCGGTGTCACCCGCAACCTCCCGGTTCGCGGTACTCCCGTTCCCCTATTGTCCGGTTCCCATCCGTGTCCCGTTCCCATTCCCGTATTTCCATTCCCATTCACTGTCCCCATTCCCGCTCCCTGTCCCCTCCCACCGGACGCCGCCGCCATCGCTCCGGCCACCCCCGGGTCTCACGTGACCGAGTAAACCCCGCGCTGCTCCCGCCCACCAATCCCAGCGCGCGATCGCTCCACGATTTGCATAACCACGCCCTTCGCCTTGCCCCCGCCCCCCGCCGGCTGCAGCCGCGTCCGGGCGCTGTTTGCTCCCAGTTCCCTCCCAGTGCTCCCAGTCAGAGCGGTGCCGGGAGGGAAAGCGCTCCCAGTTCCCTCCCAGTGCTCCCAGTCAGAGCGGTGCCGGGAGGGAAAGCGCTCCCAGTTCCCTCCCAGTGCTCCCAGTCAGAGCGGTGCCGGGAGGGAAAGCGCTCCCAGTTCCCTCCCAGTGCTCCCAGTCAGAGCGGTGCCGGGAGGGAAAGCGCTCCCAGTTCCCTCCCAGTGCTCCCAGTCAGAGCGGTGCCGGGAGGGAAAGCGCTCCCAGTTCCCTCCCAGTGCTCCCAGTCAGAGCGGTGCCGGGAGGGAAAGCGCTCCCAGTTCCCTCCCAGTGCTCCCAGTCAGAGCGGTGCCGGGAGGGAAAGCGCTCCCAGTTCCCTCCCAGTGCTCCCAGTCAGAGCGGTGCCGGGAGGGAAAGCGCTCCCAGCTCCTTCCCGGTGCTCTCAGGATCGCTCCCAGTGCCGCACGGGCCGGGGCCGCTTTGGGAACCCCCTCAGGACAGAGCGCGGCCGCTTTTGGGTGTCGGCACCGCCCGGCCGGGCTGGGAGCGGAGGAGGAGCGGGAGGAAGAGGCGGGACAGAGAAGGAGGAAGAGGAAGTAGAGAAGCTGCAACAGAAGAACGAGAAGGACGAGGAAGAGCAGCAGCAGCGCCTACACCACGCGGTTTCCCCGCACGCCCGTTCAGGCCGCTGCTCCCCCGGCTTCAGCAGCATCGTCCCCCCACCTCCAGAACGCGCAGGTGAGCGGGGAGCGGGACCTCGCCCCAAATCCATCGGGGGGGTCTCCGGGAAGCTTTTTTTGTGGGACAGGGGATGTTTGGATCTTGCAGGACCCCAAAGCTGAGCCACAAATAACTCTTACCGAGGTCCCACGTGCCCTGTACCTGCGGGCAGAGGGGCGATATCGGTTTTGGGGATCCCAGGGAGTGCCGGGGGGAAAGAGGGGAGAATGCAGAGCGGCGATCACGGAGCTGGGAACCCCGGCAGCCTGGAGGGGTGAAGGAGGCTGGAGGTGAGCGGGGTCCGGACGCCCCTAGGCTGAACGGGCCGCTTTCTAGAGCTAGACTTGGCTAGCAAGACCATCAAACCCAACGCAATCAACCCTTGTTATCCCCCCCCAAAACAGGATTTCCCGTTCCTAAACCTCGGCCCAATGGAGGAAGAAGAGGCTGGGAGAAAAAGGAAGATGCCCCAGGACACCCAAGCAGGTGAGGAGGAAGTCAGTGCCCCTTTTCCCCTGTCTCCTGCTCCATCTCCCAGCCCAGTGGCCCCTGGCTGCAGGACAACCCCGCAGTAAATGCTGTCCTGCCTGGGACACACTGGGGGGGGGATCTCCTTCCCCTTCCCTGTGGCATGGAGGCAAATCCCATCCTCTCCTTGTCTTCTGTCCCCCAGGCACTGAGCTGGCAGTGGAGACCAGGGAGGATGAATCACCACAGCAGAACCTTGTGGAAGAGGCCGTTTTGAGTGACTCCACTGCACAGGAATCCAACGGGGATGAAAATCCCCAGAGATCCCTGATGAGGAGAGGCTGCAAACCCAGCCCAGGGAGGTCAGAGGAGGAAAGACCCACCCTGGGCCATGATGGCAGCCAGAGATGTAGCCAGAGCTCCGAGCTGGGGGTCCCTGAGCAACTTCATAATGGGGAGAAGCCCTACAGGTGTGGGGAATGTGGGAAGAGCTTTCAGAGAAGCTCCACTCTTCTGAAGCATCAGCAGACACACACGAATGAGAGGCCCCATGAGTGTCCCGAATGTGGGAAGAGGTTTCAGACAAGCCGCCATCTTCTCAGGCACGAGCGGATTCACACCGAGGAGAGGCCCTTCCGCTGCCCTGACTGCGGGAAGGGCTTCAGACATAACTCCGACCTCACCGTGCACCGGCGCATCCACACCGGGGAGAGGCCCTACGAGTGTGGGGAGTGTGGGAAGAGATTCACCCAGAAGTCGAACCTGATTGTCCACAAGAGGATCCACACCGGTGAGAAGCCCTACGATTGTGGGCATTGTGGGAAGAGATTCAGCCAGATCTCTGAACTAATGCCCCACCAGAGGATCCACTCCGGGGAGCGGCCCTACGAGTGTGGCAAATGTGGGAAAAGCTTCACTCAGAACTACCACCTGATGATCCACCAGAGGAGCCACACTGGGGAGCGGCCCTACGAGTGTGGGGAGTGCCACAAGAGGTTTCAAAGCAGCTCAGATCTCCTTGTACACCAGCGGATTCACACAGATGAGAGGCCCTACCGCTGCCCCGACTGCGGGAAGGGCTTCAAGCTCAACTCCACCCTCGTCACACACCGGCGCATCCACACTGGGGAGAGGCCCTACGAGTGTCCCAACTGTGGCAAAAGCTTCAGACAGCGCTCAGCCTTGAACCAACACCAATGGAGGCACCACTATGGCAGCCCTGCAAGTGCCCCAAGTGTGGAAAGAGCTTCGTGCGCTACTACAGCTCCATCCCCCATGGGGGGATCTGCACTGGATGGTTCCCAGTGATCCGTGATGCAGGTGATCTGTGTTGGGAAGACACCTGGCTGGGGGGCTCCACCTCTTTATGGCTCCACGTGGTCTGGGTTATCTTTTCATTTCTCTTTGTCCTTTCAAAACACCCAAAAGCAGGGTAAAAATAAAAACAGTGAACTAAGACAAGGATGGGGACATCTTCTAGGGGATGTGGGGGATGCTGAGTTCAAGTGAGTTGAGGGTTCCTGGGCAGGACTTGGGGTTGCTCAGGGTTTTAGTCAGCTTTTCCCAGGCTGAGTGGTTCTGGCTGTGCTGGGAGACCCTGGCAGAGTTTCTTGGGCAGCTGATCAAGGACCCCCTGTGCTGGAACTGTCTCCATGTCTCCCCATCCTGGTTCCTGGTGTCCCCTGTCCAGGATCCCCTTCTCCCTGCTGTCACTCCCCTTGCTCCCATATTCCCAGTTGGGCTGCCGGTTGCACTTCCGTTCCCCTATTTCCATTTCTATGTTCCCTGTCCCATTCCTATATTCCCATAATCCCAGTCCCATTCCGTTAGGCCCATTTGCCATCTTGGTCCCATCTTCCTAACCCCAATCCCATATTCTCTCCGGTTCCATATTCTCTATCCCGTTCCCATATTCCCGTTCCTTGTCCCATTTCCTGTCCCCATTCCCGCTCCCTGTCCCCATTCTCTGTCCTATTCCCGGTTCCCTATCCCTCTCACCATTCCGGCTCCCTGTCCCCATTCCCATTCACTGTCCCCATTTCCTGTCCTCATTCCCGCTCCCTGTCCCCATTCCCGCTCCCTGTCCCTCTCGCCGGACGCCGCCGCCATAACTCCAGAGCCCCCGGCCTCACGTGACCGAGGAAACCCGCGCTGCTCCCGCCCACCAATCCCAGCGCGCGATCGCTCCAGTGATTTGCATAACCACGCCCTTCGCCTTGCCCCCGCCCCCCGCCGGCTGCAGCCGCGTCCGGGCGCTGTTTGCTCCCAGTTCCCTCCCAGTGCTCCCAGTCAGAGCGGTGCCGGGAGGGAAAGCGCTCCCAGTTCCCTCCCAGTGCTCCCAGTCAGAGCGGTGCCGGGAGGGAAAGCGCTCCCAGTTCCCTCCCAGTGCTCCCAGTCAGAGCGGTGCCGGGAGGGAAAGCGCTCCCAGTTCCCTCCCAGTGCTCCCAGTCAGAGCGGTGCCGGGAGGGAAAGCGCTCCCAGTTCCCTCCCAGTGCTCCCAGTCAGAGCGGTGCCGGGTGGTGGTCAGAGCGGAGGGAAAGCGCTCCCAGTTCCCTCCCAGTGCTCCCAGTCAGAGCGGTGCCGGGAGGGAAAGCGCTCCCAGCTCCTTCCCGGTGCTCTCAGGATCGCTCCCAGTGCCGAACGGGCCGGGGCCGCTTTGGAACTTCCGTACGACAGAACGCGGCCGCTTTTGGGTGTCGGCACCGCCCGGGTCGGGCTGGGAGCGGAGGAGGAGCGGGAGGAAGAGGAGGGACAGAAGAGGAGGGACAGAATCGCGTAGTTTCCCGTGCCGGGTCTCGGGCCCGCCCGCTCAGGCCGCAGCTCCCCGGCGTCAGTAGCACCGAACCCCCGCA